AGACTGACGCTCTACCACTGAGCCAAACCAGTTTTGGCAAAAGCTGAGCATTTTGGGAAGAAGTGTTAATTTCAGAGTAAGCTACCCAAGAAACTGCATTTAACCTTTTAAAACTCTGGTTAAAAATCCCTTTGATCCAAAGCATTTAAAAATGCCTTCAGCCTGACCACACAACCCTCCTTAAAGGAGAGCAAACCTGAGTGAGCTTCCTCCTGAAGATTTTATTTTTTGGTTAATTCTTACCAGAGGATATTTTTTCCATTGATTCTTAGAGAGATTGGAAGGGAGGGGGTGAGTGGGAAAGAGAGAGAAACATTGATATGAGACACATTGATTGGTTGCCTCTTGTACATACTCCAACCAGGGCAGGGATTGAACCTGCAATCTAGATACATGCCCTCAACTGGGATTCAAACCCGAGACCCTTTGGTGTGGGAGCCAACACTCTAACCACTGTGCTCACCAGCCAGGGCACCACCTGAAGATTTTAAAGATTCTAAGGGTAGCATCTTATCAGGTATTGTTGCTAACGATCATTTCTATTCAATATCTCAAATCCTTACATATTTTAGAGAGATTCTTTTTTTTATATAAATATATTTTATTGATTTTTCATAGAGAAGAAGGGAGAGAGATAGAAAGAAACGCTGAGGTCATGGATGAGAGAGAAACATCGATCAGCTGCCTCTTGCACACCCCCTACTGGGGATTTGCCCGCAACTCAGGTACATGCCCTTGACTGGAATCGTACCTGGGACCTTTCAGTCCGCAGACCGACACTCTACCACTGAGCCAAACCGGTTTCGGCTAGAGAGATTCTTGAGTTTGTGAATTGGGATTAGGCACCAATAGGCTAGTTTAGCTATGGCTGAAGGACTATCACTTGGGATAGTAAGGCATTTCCAACCTAAGACATTTCTACCCTCCTCACCACCCATCTAAAAAAAAATAAAATGAGCCGGGACCGGTTTGGCTCAATGGATAGAGCGTCGGCTTGGGGACTGAAGGGTCCCGGGTTCGATTCCGGTCAAGGACATGTACCTTGGTTGCGGGCATATCCCCAATGGGGAGTATGCAAGAGGCAGCTGATCGATGACTCTCTGTCATTGATGTTTCTAACTCTCTATCTCTCTCCCTTCCTCTCTGTATAAAATCAATAAAATATATTAAAAAAATAAAAAAAATAAAATGAAAAGGAATGGAGATCATACCAATGAAGTGATTCAGGCTCTTATCTTCTTGTGGTATCTCCTGTTTCCAAAGGCACATTTTCTTTTACTTCATAGGTTCATAGGGGTTACCAGAAAGTTCCTTAAGATGGAATGAGTTGATAGACCAGTTTCTCCAGGTTGCCTCAGTTGGTGGGTGAGGATTCTTTCCTTCCTAAGATGAAAGGAGTTTGCTTTTACATGTTCTGGGTAGACCAGTTTTAAGAGTCCCATTCTTCCCTGAAACCAACTGGAACCCCTCCAGACACTGGGATCTAGACTTCAGAGTGTGGAGATGGTGTCATTGACTCACTCACGTTGTCATTCTGTATTATTTGGGACTCCTGATTATAAATGACAGAAATCTGTTTGATCTGTTTGACTGAACAGATCACACAGAAATCTGTTTGATCTGTTCAGTCAAACAGAAATGACAGAAATCTGCTTGAATCTGTTTGACTGAATTGGGGAATGTATCACAAGAATATTGGGACGTTTCTCAGAATCCAAGCGTAGGAAGGAGGCCCCAAGGACAAATAGAATTGGCGTTCCAGAATTTCTGGGACCCTCTTCTCCAACTGACATCGGCTTTCATCCTTCTCCCTCCACAGGCAGGCTACCTCTGCTCCTCCACTACCTCCTGGGCTGTGGCATCTTGCAGTCCAGACACAATAAGAGACACCGTGTAGCTTCTCTTTCTCAGTTCTGGTTCCAAAGTTCCTGGAAGAGAACTTTTCTTGGCTTGGCTTGGCTCAGAGCCAAGACTGAGCACCTACAACCCGAAAACCTGGCTGAGTTGAGTCACATAGTTACCCTGACCAACCAATCAGATGAGGCCAGGAGAGTGAGGTCACATTGTACTAACATGACCACATTGTACATTCAGAAAACAGGGTGCTAATTAAGCAAAAATTAAGCTAATTAACCAAACCAAAAAAAAAAAAAGTGTTCACTACCTATTCTCTTTTCTATATTCTGCGAAAGTAAGTGAGAATTATGTAGGTGCTATTTTGCCAACAAACAAGTACTGAGCACCTAACTATCTTGGTCTAACTGCCTTTTGTTCTTATTGTGTTCTCCAAGAGATTGCTTAAGGGCCTTTTCCTATAGTTTTCAGCCCTTAATCATGCCTACCTCTTCTGCATTCTCCATGGCTAGTCTGGCTGTCTACTTTACTGAGATCAAGACTATACCTCCCCATCTCTCATCCAACTCCTTTGCTACTAAAATAAAGGTCCTTGTCACACATCTCTCCTGCACAATTTCTCCTTTCCCACTTTTCCTTCACACAGGTTTTCTTCCTCCAGCTTTAGGGAAGATAATCACTCTTGTGAGTGTCTAGAGGTAATCAAATCTTTGAGACAGGGTCCTGGCCTGGTAGCTCAGTTGGTTAGAGCATCATTCTGATATGCCAAGGTTGTGGGTCCAATTCCCAGTCAGAGCACACATAAGAAACAACTCATGAATGCATAAATAAGTGGAACAACAAACCTCTCTCTCTCTCTCTCTCTCTCTCTCTCTCTCTCTCTCTCTCTCTCTCTCTCTCCTCAATAAAGATCTGTGAGAGAGATGCAAGCTAAATGAGAATACACCAGAAGTGAGGTAGATGCTAGAATAACAACTTACCAATTTAGATGAGTAATCTCTGCCACAAAGAATAGAAATACTTAAAAATGATTGAGTAGTGCATTCTCTTCCTTTAGTCAAGCCAGGTACAAAGCCAAGTCATAATTTGAAACATTTTTTGGTTTATTCTAAGGAATCCATGCCACAGCCACTGAAAATACCCAAGGTGTCTGTGTGGTGAAATAATAATAATAACAATAAACAACAACAATAATAATAATATAATAAAAGCCTAATATGCAAATTGACCAAACAGCAGAACAACTGGTGAACAACCAGTTGCTATGATGCACAGTGACCACCAGGGGACAGATGCCTAAAGCAGGAGCTGCCCCCAGCCCGCAGGCCTCAGGCCAGTCAAGGTGGGTGCCAGTGCGGGGGGGCCCCCTGATCGCCCCGCTGGTCATCCCACAGAGGGAGGCAACCAGCAGCAGTGTGGAATGGGGCCGGCAAGTGGGCAGTACCAGGCCAGCCAAGGTGAGTGCCAGTGGTGTCCCCAATCGCCCCACAAATCAGTTCTGATCACCAGCCAGGTATAGGGCCCCTACCCAGTCACGAATTTAATGCACCAGACCTCTAGTAATAATAATAATAAAGTGAGCTGTTTTGTGCCTTCTGGGGTGGTTTTTTCTATACAGAAAAGACTATTCAAAAGTTTACTTTTAGTTTTGTCTAATGGCAAAAAGTTTGCAGGGGTCCAGCAAACTATGGCCTGGGTCAACTCTGCCCACTCCAATTTGTATGACCCATGATTTAAAAGTTGTGTTTACATTTATAAAAGTCAAAAAAAATTGAGCAAGAGAGTAATATTTTGAGACATGAAAACTGTATGAAATTCAAATATCAGTGTGGTTGCCACAGAGGCCTTATGTCCTGCTTGTCTAAAATATTTACTATGTTGGCTTTTCCAGATCCCTAGTTTAAAAGATTGGTGTTCAATTTATTAAAACAACAAACTCAAAACCTTAGTGTGTTTTTAGGCTTTTAAAAAAGCAGGTGGTTACACAGCCATGAAACCACAACCACCACAATCAAGATAACAAATATTTCCATCACCTCAAAGAGCGGCTCCCGCCTCTGCTCCAGGAGCCAGGAAACCACTGATCTGCTTCCTGTCACTACATTTTTATTTGCATTTTCTAGAATTTTATAGAGATAGATCCATACAGTAAGCAGTCTTTTGTGTCTGGCTTTTTTTTTTTATTTCTTTTTTTTTTTTTTTTTTTTTTGGGTGGTGGAGGTGTCCAGATTATACAGATTTTGAAATTCTTTCATGTTGTATCAGTAGTTTATTCCTATTTATTGTTATGCTTAAAGAAACTTTAAAACCTTACATTTTAAAGTTTCTATATTATGCCCAAACCGGTTTGGCTCAGGGGATAGAGCTTCGGCCTGTGGATTGAAAGGTCCAGGGTTTGATTCTGATCAAGAGCATGTACCTTGGTTGCGGCCACATCCCCAGTAGGGGGTGTGCAGGAGGCAGCTGATCGATGATTCTCTCTCATTGATGTTTCTAACTCTCTATCCTTCTCTCTTCTTCTCTGTAAAAAATCAATGAAATATATTTTATTAAAAATTTTTCCTGTATTTTGGAACATTTAAGCATACCTAACGAAAAAGTTCCAAATAGTGTATGAACCCCCATACACATATTACCTAACTTCAACAATTAACAACTTAGGGTCAACCTTGTTTCAACCATACCTCCACCCATGAACTCCCTCCCCCACTACTCACATAATAAACTAATTTGTACGTGCTTTCCAGGAACCAGGCACAATGCTAATTAAGTACCTTATATGCTCATTCAATTTTCTCAACTTTTTGCAGATAAGGAAACTAGAGCTAGAGAGTTTAACTTCACCCGGTTAGTAAGCGATGGCGTGAGTTCGGGGGTGGATTGTAATCCCAACTTCCTAAGCATTTCCCAGCTCTGAACAATTTCACCTATTGATCTCCATTTTTTTCTAGGGTTCTCTCTGACACTTGCTGGCATCAAAATTCCTGGGCGTGGCCCCGCCCCGCCCCTTAAGCCCCGCCCCGCCTGAGTGAGCGTCAGGAAAACCACACTTCCCAGAGTGCACCGCGGCCACGATGGCCTCACTACCGGCGTCCGCTCGCCGGACGCCATTTGTGTAGCCGGGAACGGCGGTGCGGCCTGTGACCATGGCGCTGTTCCCGGCCTTTGCGGGCGTTAGTGAGGCTCCCGATAGCGGGAGCGCCAGGAAAGGTAAGCGCACGAGAGGGATGAAGAGGACACTCGGCGGGGCGTAAGACGTGGCTTCTCCGCCCCCTTGCTTTGGATGTGTTGATCCACCTGTGTCCCAGAGTTCCCCGCGGCGCCGCAGAGCCTCCTGGGAAGGGCCCGTGGCCGGGTCCGGCTGCTTCGGGGCGCGAGTCGCAGAGTGACGGAAGGAGAAAGACCTAGGAGGGACCCTGGAGCTGGGACCTGGATGGAGTCATTCTTCCTCTGAGCCTCAGTTACTTCGCCTATAATGTGGGAATAATGCTGCTCCACGTCTCAAGGAAACTCTTGGCGCAAATGCTGGGTCTTCTAATGCCCTCTCTCCTGTTTTACTTTTTTCTTTTTAAAAAATATATCCCACTGAGTTTTTACAGAGAGGAAGGGAGAGGGATAGAGTCAGAAACATGAATCAGTTGCCTCCTGCACACTCCCTATGGGGGATGTGCCCGAACTGAGGTGCATGCCCTTGACCGGAATCGAACCTGGGACTCTTCAGTCTGCAGGTCGAGCCCTATCCACTGAGCCAAACCGGTTTTGGCTGTTTTACTTATTTCTGAAATGCTTATTGGTTCAGTATGTTTAGCTGAGAGCTAGGGGATTAGGACCCAAAGCCCAGTCAAGCAGTTTCCTCTCTCGACAGGCATAGCTGCTGGGAATAGAACTAACATTTATTTTTTTGAGAGCCCGCTGTGTGCCAGGTGATGGCATAACATGTTCTTTATAAGCCTTCATTGTCCCCAGGAGGTCTGCATTGTTAGAAATTGAGGCGCTGACAGCCAGGCGTACCTCCGAGATGTTGAGTTTGGTTCCAGACCACCTCGCAGTTAAGAGAGTTGCAATCTTGTTGGTGGAGGGGCTCTTGTTTGTAAAAAAACAAACAAAAAAAACACACAACATCTGTGAAGTACATTAAAGGGGAGCTCAGTAATAGGGGTATACCTCTAGTGAATTGTAACCAAGTCATTCTAAGTCATGCACTTAACGTGGCGGAGTCCAGTTGTATCTGACGAGGCTCCTTCGTACACATATTCCCTCAGATGGCTCTTACATCTGTATTTTGGTAATGCTTACAATAATTGTAACTTCTTATATAATTAGTGTAATTTTGGTCATCCTCCATGTGGTCAGAACAGTGTCTATTCACTGCAGCACACGTAGTCCCTAGCAGAAGGTCAAAAATAGAGTAGATGGTCACTAAATACTTGTTGAATGTAGAGAACAATAGTAGGTGCTAAACAAAGAGATAGCAGTACAAGGCAGGACGTTATAGATGTTGCTAGAGGCCTGATGCATGAAATTTGTGCACTTGGGGGTCCCTCATCTTGGCCTGTGCCCTCTCAGTGGAGGGCCCCCTTACCGCCTGCCTGCAGTGGACACGGGAGAGGCTCCCGCCACCACTGCTGCACTCTCCATCCTTGAGCCAGGCTTCTGGCTGAGCAGAGCTCCCCCTATGAATCGCACTGACCACCAAGGGGTAGCTCCTGTGCTGAGCGTCTGCCCCCTGGTGGTCAGCGCATGTCATAGTGACTGGTCTTTCCTCAGTTTGGTTGATTTGCATATTTAGGTTTGATTATATAGGATCATATAGGATAGATGAACTTCTAATATAGGAATGACTTCTCCTGGGAGCTTCATATATGGCTTTAGGTAGGAGCAACCTTTGGAGGCGGGTCTTCAAGAGATTCGAGTTGAGACAAATAGAGTTAGTGGAAGGGCATTCCTGGGCCTTCAAAGGCATGCAGGAAGGAGAGCATGAGACCTGTGCAGAGAACTGCAAATGGTCCAGTTTGTCTGGAAATATAGAGGAAACAGGAGGCTTGGGAATGTGGTTGAGACTGGTGCTGAGGGAAGGTAGTGACTTGAATGCCAGGCCAAGGGCCTATCCTTTCATTGTGGAATGGTGCCGTGGAAGGTTCATGTGGGGAGTGCTGCTCTTGTCTTTTATCTTAACCGGTCCTTATTGGACATCTGGGTATCTGCATGGATAATATTTGTAATGTTTGTAAAAGTGTTGTTTGTAAAGTACTATTTTAAAAAATTTAAACAATGTTATTACTCAAAGTAATTATAATTCTTTAGTATCATCTCATTGTCAATGTTCAGTCTTCCCAACTTGCCTCAAAAGTGGCCTTTTATAGTTGGGTTGTTTAAGTCGGGACCCAAAAAAGATGCAACGTTGCATTTTGTGGGTACGTCTCTCAGGTGTCTTTTAAATAGAAAGGTTTCTTCCTCTCCTCTGTTTTCCACTGTGGTTTATTTGTTGTGGAAACTGGTTTCTCCCATACCTATTTCCCACCAAATCCTCCTGGTGTCATTTAATATGCTTCTCCCCGTGTTTCCTGTAAACTGGTAATTAGACCTAGAGAGTTAATTAGATTCAGGCATTTTTTTTTTTTTTTCATTGGAGGCGCTCTGCTCTTGGTATTGAGTCAGATCAAGAAGATCTGCTGTCCAGTTATCTCTCCCTTAGTGACGGGAAGATCCATCAGTGGGTTCTTGGTTCATCCACTGTGTTTTTAAAATACAGTATTTTACAAACAGCATTTTACAGACATTACAACCATTACCCATGCAGGATATTGAGATGTCCAATAAGTACTGGCTAAGATAAATGACAAGAGCAATACTCCGCTTATAAACATTCCACTGTTAGCCTTACCCAATAATGTTTGCAGTCATTTATGATTATTGATTAGATCTATTATTTCGTTGGGGTTACAAAATGGTAATTTTCTAATTTTAGCATTCCTCCCATACTTATTAGCTCAGTTATTTTATAAAGAACTTTCCTCAACACTTATTGGGACACCCGGAAGTATAGCATAAGCCACTTCCTCTGCCTAGATGTTTCTTGGGAGCGTATTTGCCTAAGTCCTTCTCATCCTTTAAGTCTTAACTGAGACACTCTTCCAGGCAGCCTTCTCTGATCCACATCTAGTTTGGATGAGGGAACCTAAGAATGTGCTGTGATTATATGCTGAGTATTTTCTCTGTTTTGGCATTTGTCCCATTGCATGCAATGACTGCCAGTGTGTCAGCTCCCCGAGGGTCATGTTGGGTTTGTCTTATGGATTTGCATTTTAAAAAAATATATTTTATTGATTTTTACAGAGGAAGAGAGAGAGGGATAGAGAGTTAGAAACATTGATGAGAGAGAATCATCGATCAGCTGCCTCTTGCACACCTCCTACTTGGAATGTGCCCGCAACCAAGGTACATGCCCTTGACCTGAATCGAACCCGGGACCTTTCAGTCCACAGGCTGATGCTCTATCCACTGAGTCAAATCGGTTTCGGCGGTTTTTGCATTTTTAGCACCTAGAACAGTGCATGGCTCTCAGTGTAAAAAAAAAAAGTGCTGAATGAAAGAAACTCAGATTATTTTATTCAGTGTTGTCCGACTAATAAAGCCAGTATTTGAACACAGGTACTTCTGACTCGAGAACTTGTGTTAGAACTATGATATTATTAATAGAATGCTCTGGTTTTGGTTGTTTATACATTATCTTTGGGGTCTGGGTGTTTTCATATTGTAGGTTTACTAGTACTTCATGCAAGAGCTGACTTTGCCTAAGTTCTCTTTAATCACCATTTAAAAAAAATTTTTTTTTTATTGATTTCAGAGAGGAAGGGAGAGGAAGAGAGAGAGAGAAACATCAGTGAAGAGAGAGAATCACTGATTGGCTGCCTCCTGCCCCCTGGGATCGAGCCCACAATCTGGGCATGTGCCCTGACCGGAATCGAACCTGGGACCCATCAGTCCAGAGGCTGACGCTCTAGCCCAGTGGTTGGCAAACTGCGGCTCTTGAACCACATGTGGCTCGCAAGTCTCCGTTTGCCACTCTGTTGACTAATGAGTTTGCTTACCACAGCTCTAGCCAAACCAGCCAGGGCTCACCATGTTTAAGTGTAGTTTTGAGCCACGTTTTCTGGTGTTTTTTTGTAGGAATGTTTGTGCTGTCAGATTCTTTGTCACAAAGTAAGGGTTTTGATCAAAATGAAGAGCTTGGCTCATTCTTTTTAAAGAAACAACCACATCCTCAATACATATGCTAATTTATTGATACAGTGAGCCCTAGAAATGTCTTTTGAATTACCATCTCTGGAGGTGTGGCTTTCACCTGAGTTCACTTAAACAAACTAGTCATCAGTGCTCTGTGGTTGTAATGGAATGGGGAATGGGTATAGAATTGGATACTTTATCCAAATGTGATTCAGAATTTAAGATGAATATAAGGTTATGATTAAGTATAAGCAGAGGCCTGGCCTGTAAGAGTAGAGGCCTGGCCTGTCTTGTTCACCACTGTACCTCCCAAAGCCCAGAACGGTGCCTGGCACATAGTAAGTATTCAATACTCTGTTCTTTAAATTATTAAATCTCTATTTACAGTGAGGTCTAGAAGAATTATAATAGTTGTTCTTTATACCTACCTAATGGCACAGTTTTGAAAATCTCTTCCATTTGTTCAATAAATTTAGGTGCTGGGATACAAAGATGCAAAGATATGGTTCAGGTCTTCATTCATTCAATTATTGGACAAATATTTATGAGTCCATTTACTTTGTGCTAGGAGTTGGGACTACAGGAGTGAGTGGCCATGGCTTCTGCCCTCATGTTGCTTTTAGTTTGGGAAGAAAGGAGTTGGAGGAAGAAGAGGGAAAAGCTGGAAAGCATTTGGTGTATTTGTTTGGCTGGCAAAATATTTTTTGTTTTGTCTTTTTCCTATTGTCACTCCCTGTAGTGTCACAGTAATTGTCACTAACCTGGTCCCTGTAGGGATTTGAGTTGTTGACCTTTGGTTTAGAACAAGCATGTCACACTCAAAGGCTAACACGGGCTAGATAAACAAGGCTTAAATGTATGTGGGCCGCAAAAAATAAAAGCTTCAATTTTCATGGAACGTAGGTTTATTTCCATAGAGACATGCTGGATACAAAGGGCTGAAATAAATGAGTAATCATTAAAATAATAGAGCATTTTAACAAAAATTAATATTTTTTTCTTGAACATTAACTTACCATACACCGAATAACTGCACAGATTAATAAATGTAATGCAAATAAACCTATTTTTCTTGTTCACCAAAAGCAAAATACTTCCTGTTGCGTACACCAAACAAGTCAGTCTAAGATCAATTATGTGGCCATCGGCTGCTAAAATAATCGCTGCTGGTATTAGTGGAGAGAAATGATGTCCCTGAGCGGAAGGTGAGGAAGGGAAATGAATGCAACACGATTATAGTATCAGTCATTAGTAAATGTTGTAGTTCGTTATTAATTATGTAAAACAGAACATTGTAAAAATTAAGTTACAAAAATTTTTTTTAAATATATTTTTATTGATTTTGTACAGGGAGGAAGGGAGAGAGATAGAGAGTTAGAAACATTGATGAGAGAGAGTCATTGATCAGCTGCCTCTTGCACACCCCCTACTGGGGATATGCCCGCAACCGAGGTACATGCCCTTGACCGGAATCGAACCTGGGACCCTTAAGTCCCCAAGCCAACGCTCTACCATTGAGCCAAACCGGTCTCGGCAAGTTACAAAATTTTTATTAAAACGTTTCTTACATACCGTTATATTGGCTGGGCTACAAAAATATTCGTTGTGGGCCACATATAGCCTTTGGGCTGCAAGTTTGACATGCTTGGTTTACAGACAAAAGATCATTTGAAAGGAAGGTCGCACAGAGGGCCAGTGATTATTTGAGTTCAAAACCCAAGAGTATTATAGTTCTTTATACTCTCTCCACACTCTCCCCCTGCTCCCATAACCCTATATGCCTTAATTGCACCCTTAAATACTTCTCTTGCGCCCTAACCGGTTTGGCTCAGTGGATAGAGCATCGGCCTGCGGACTTTAGAGTCCCAGGTTCGGTTCCGGTCAAGGGCATGTACCTTGGTTGTGGGCACATCCCCAGTGGGAGGTGTGCAGGAGGCAGCTGATCGATGTTTCTGGCTCTCTATCCCTCTCCTTTTCTCTCTATAAAAAAGCAATAAAATGCATTTTTTTAAAAACATAAAACTTCTCTTGTACCTTGTGAAGGACTTTGGAGAGGCACACACTGTGCTTTTGACATTGTTTTTATTTACCTTTCCTCCAGCTGTTGGCACCAACTAGAATCTTCGTCTAAAAACACACTGGAATTGTTCAAGAGCACCTCTCCTTGCATGTTGTTTGCTCCATCTCTCCCGCTTTCCTTTTCCTCTGTTCACTATAGCATCCAGTTGTTGTGGAAATAAATGCCATCTCAGCGAACAGCAGGAACTGTTTTCACGTGCCTCTTGCCAGGAATTAGGCTCAAGGGAAGGGAACCAACCTCAGAAGGAAAAAAGGAAACAGTAGAAAAAAGCTTGTGTGAAGGGTTGTTTAGCACTTGCTGGGTATGACTTTACAAAGTACTTACTCCCTCTGAGCCCTAGTTTCTGATGCTGTATAATAGAGATGGTAATCCCATAGAGGATTAGCAGCTAAGGATGGAAAGTGCTTACGCTGGTGCTTGGCCTACTGTAGGCACTTACTTAGAATCCTCTCTTCTTTCTACTTTTCCTATGCTTTATTATTTTTTTAAAAGGTCAATTTCTTTTTAAAAAAATATTTTATTGATTTTTTACAGAGAGGAAGGGAGAGGGAGAGAGAGTTAGAAACATCGATGAGAGAGAAACATCAATTAGCTGCCTCCTGCACACTCCCCATTGGGGATGTGCCCGTAACCAAGATATATGTCCTTGACTGGAATCCGAACCTGGGACCGTGGAGTCCGCAGGCTGACGCTCTATCCACTGAGCCAAACCGGTTGGGGCTTTCCTGTGCTTTTTAACGTACCTCTCCTCCTTAGGAATTTTCCTTCCTCCCTTTCCTGTTCTTCACAGACATCTATTAAACCCCCTACTACTGGGTCCAGTGCTGGGATATAGCAGTGAAGAAAACGAAGTACCTGTCACCAGGGACTAGAATGCAAAATATATAAAGAACTCTCCTTAACTCAGTAATAAAAATAATTAAGAAATGGGCAAAGGGTTTGAATAGCTATTTCTAGTCCAGTGTGAACGGCAATGAACTCATGAGAAGTTGCTCAATATTAGTAATCATCAGGGAAATGGAAATCGAAGCTATAATGAGAAAACACATCACACCTCTCAGACGACTGTCATATAAAAGGTAGACAGCAGCAAGTTGGCAAGGGTGTTGAGAAATTGGAATCCCCATACATTGTTAGTGGGAATGTAAAATGGTGCAGCCGGTTTGGAAAACAGCCTGGCAGTTCCTCATAATGGCAAGCACGAGTTACCTAGCAATTCTGCTCCTCGACATCATCCCAGGAGAAGTGAAAACATACGTTCACATGAAAACCTGCACATGAATGTTTATGGCAGCGCTATTCACATAGCCCCAAAGTGGAAACAACCCAAGTGTCCAATAACTGATGGATAGGTAAACCATAAATATTATTTGGCAATAAAAAGGTGGTACATGCTATAGCATGGATGAATCTTGAAAACATGTCAAGTTAGAGAAGCCAGTTACAAAAGACCATGTGTTGTATGATCTTGTTTATATTAAAAGTCCAGAATAGGCAAGTGTGTAGAGAAAAATGGTAAGTGGTTACCTAGGACTGGAGTTGGGGTGGGAGGGTAGGAGGTAGGTGGTGGAGAGTGACTGTTAACAGGTCAGTCTGCAGGCCGACGCTCTATCCACTGAGCCAAACCAGTCAGGGCTGGGGTTTCTTTAGGGATGATGAAAATGTCCTAAATAATTTTACACCATATTCTTAAATCCCACTGAATTGTACACTTTATATGGTTAAACCTAACGGTATATAAATAAAATGCCAGTACAACTGTTAAAAAAATCTAATACCCTTTTCCATTCTAACTGTACCCATCTTCTCAGCTATGAATATTCCCTGACATCCACCCTAAAACAAAGTAGGACAAATATGAACCCCTGTTTGGGCCCCCTTCCTTTTCCCCACCTAATTTTTTTACTTTCCTTCCTAGCTGAGACACCTAAAAGTTAGAAAATAAGTAATTTATAAATAGTTCATTTAGAAGAGTTAGAAATTAATGGATAAGAAAAACTGTTTCAGACATTTAATATATTATTAATAATCATTGTTACTAATTATTAATTTTTGTTGATTTACAGAAAGGAAGGAAGAGAAGGAGAGAGAGAAACATTAATCGGTTGATTGCCTCCTACAGTGGCTCTACTAGGGATTGAACTCGCCACTTTTTGGTGCATGGATTGACACTCCAACAACGGAGCCACCCCAGCCAGGGCAGTCATTGTTAGGATCTTACATAATTTTATCTTTAGTTAGAAAAATTGACACCTTGTGTGTGTGTGTGTTTTTAAATCTTCACCTGATTAGTTGCCTCTCATATGTACCCTGACTGGGGATCAAACCCACAACTTTTTGGGATGGATGATACACCAACCCACTGAGCCACCCTTGTGTTTCTATTTTCAGAGGAGTGTTTCTTATAAGGACAGGTTTATGTTAACTGAGATTGGACATTAGAATATTCTTTTAAAGAAAATACCTTACTCTTTCGTGATAATGGTAAGCACGGCGGGCTTTTATGCGTGACTTGATTTTGTAACTTTTTGGAATTGCCTAGATCAAATTTGAGGTCGTTCAACACTAATGCTTACGAAGCCTTGGTGCCCAGGATGGTGGAGGGAATGCATAAGCCTGGTTGTCTTAGGCCACACTTGTTACATGGCTTTTGCTTAAGCCACAGCCTCATATCGCAGAGGATTTCAGTCTGAAATATTTTAGAGTGAAATAAAAAATTTCACGGATTACCTTCAGCCTCTGTGGACTATTCTGAATGTCTGGCTGACATTGGTTGTGAATGACGATGCCAGCTGGTCAGATGGATTTCCTGCTTTAGAAATCACACTGAGCTCGTTTCATTGGTCTTTCTCTCTTTTGCATGTGCAGAATTAGATTGGCTGAGCAACCCAAGCTTTTGTGTTGAAACCGTCACATCTCTGAGCCAGCAAGCTGAAGAGGCCGCAGCTCTAGTCTCTGAAGGGTCACTGCTGACGAGGTAGGACTTTTGGTGGATGGAGTCTGAGTCTTTGTCGGTGACACTGTGGCTTAGCCTTGAACGAGCCTCCTTAGAAAACCCTGTGATAGAAGAGCTAAGTAAAACTCTTCACTTACTGTAATGAGGTGACCTTTGACTATTTTCCCTTACCTCACTCTTATTCCTTCCCCCCTTTGCTGCAGTGGCAACTGCGTGACACAGTACCTGCCAGTAATTAGCCCATGAGGGAAATGGCATCACTGGGATCCTTATTTACTAACCTCATTAGCAACCTTTAGAATATTGATAAACATAGAATTCAGCTATTTCTTTAGTTGCAGTTTTAACATTTTTGTAAAAATAGAAAGAGTTTATGTAATATAACGTGGGGAAGGGGAAAATTTTCCTTTTTCTCCTCTGGTTCTTTTTGGCTGGCAAAATAATATTTCAACAGGAGGTAGATTGACAAGAGAAAATAGAATTTAATATTGTGTGCATGCGAACCCCACATACAGGAGAAGAGACGAGACCCCGGATGCATGGGAGGTTCAGAGCTAGGAAGGGAGGTTGAGTGTATAAGACCTCCTGACTGAGGGGTGAGGGGAGGTGCCTTCAGAAGGGCACTGCAGGATGATAAGAGCAAACCTTTAATAAAATAGAAGTTGCCTGTTCTATAGCTAGCTCAGAAGAAGCTCTGACAATCTTTTATGGGCAAGGGTCTCTAATTCAAATTCTTCTAGGTAGTTAAGGAAAGGGGGAAAGGGGAGAAGTTTCTCTTGAGCCTGAAGCTAAAATTTCCTTTAGCTCAAAGCAATCTGCATATCACTGAGGCACTTCTTAGGGGTGGCTCATTCTAGACTCCACAAGAGCAAAGGAAAACCTCATGAAAACTTTGGGGAAAGCAAAATGGTACCTATCTCTACCCAGCGTTGAAAGAATATTGTTGTAGATCATCGAATTCAGAAATGAGCTCACTTGCCCGCCAGTATAGACTAGATGGTCCATTAGTGTGATGAACCCCCGGAAGCCATGTTCTCCCAAAGCGGAAGAAGCCTTAGGAAGTTGAGAGTAGTTGACACATGAAAAGGAGTTGTTTGTCGATATTTCAGTAATGATGGAGAAAATAAACCTTTTCTAATGTTGCTTTTAAAAATATTATACTTGATAAAATAACTGGCAGGTTATTTTCATTTAAAAATGTATAGATATCAAAGGATAGCTTCAGAGGTTATTAGAATTTCTTTACCTGGTTTTATTGTAGATCCAACTTTTATTTTAAGGTGAGTTGTGATCCAGGAAGATATTTTATAGTATATGTGCAAATAGTACGTCTGTGTGAGCACTTTTAGAATGTCCTTTTACATATTTGTTTGATTTCTTACTTGCATATTATTTTCCCTCATCCTCTTCTAAAAAGTCTAATGTGGATTTTCCCAAACAGGAGTCCTCTGAAATCAGAGCTGTCAGATGAAAGTGACTCGAACAGAAACCTCCGACAAGCAAGCAGGAAAAAGAAGAAGGAGAAAAGGAAGAAAAGGAAGCATCAGCACCACAAGAAAACCAAGAGAAAACGCGGGCAGTCAAGTAGCAGTGGGTCTGAGCCAGACACTGACTCTGAAAAGGACAAATCCCCCAGAGGCCTCAGAGGCGGTAACAGAGGACCGGAGACACTGAGGTAGGTGTCCTGCTCTCAACATCTGCGACCTTCTAACTCGTTAATTTTCCTCCCCTGATTGCTGCCATGACTTAAGCAGTTTCATGATTACTTAACACAACTCAGTCAAACACAGTCAATAAATATCTCAACAAAGCTGGGGGAAAATAGAATTCTACCACCTTGTCAACATAAAGAAAATTTTGTAACAAATTAGGGCCATGATTTTATTTGAGAAATGTTAGACACAGTAATGGTTGTGTAAAAATCTGATTTAGACAAAAAATCCTCGGGAGTTTTGAAAGACGGGAAATGTGCACACGGTGGGCGCCTGGGCTAGTTCACGGGAGGGGCCATTGGCCTCCATGTTTATCAAGAATAAGAGAAACATCTTCTCATTGTGATGTATCTTCCTTTTAGTCACTTCCACCCCTTTGTGTCCCCGAAATACCATTCTCTTGTATTCCCAGCCAGGAATGATTCAGAAGCCTCCAGAATCTTCATTTCTATCGGGAGAGCTAAAAAGCAGATGGGACAACAGTTAATGGCTGTTGTGACCTTTGGCAGCGTCTGTCCGCAGCATCATAAATTGATTTTCTCTACGGGAGGAGAGGTGTTAGATGCCAGAAAACCCTCCCCTCCCTCTCACTTGACTCCTAGGGAAGTGGTTCCATTCGTATCTGAGCTGAAAGTCTGCCAGCTCACAGACTGGTTCAGAGGGATAAACCAGGGTCTGGGCTTACAGCGGGCGCTCTCTGCCTTCACGTGGGAGGTCCGGCCGTGCAGGCATAGCCGTGCACAAGCCCAGGCCAGAAAAGCACAATTTAGACTTATCCCAAGTGACATCTGAGGCAGAACTATTCCCAACTGGGGCCTTTGTTGTTGTCATTGTTGAGTTTGGGGTTGGAATAAATAATCTGAGCACTTTCTTTCTTTTTTTTTTTTTTATTAATATATTTTATTGATTTTTTTCAGAGAGGAAGGGAGAGAGATAGAGAGCTAGAAACGTCAATGAGAGAGAAACATCGACCAGCTGCCTCCTGCACACCCCCTGCTGGGGATGTGCCCGCAACCAACATACATGCCCCTGACCGGAATCGAACCCGGGACCTTTCAGTCCGCAGACTGACGCTCTACCACTGAGCCAAACCGGCTTCGGCTAATCTGAGCACTTTCAAATAAGGTGACCTAAGAGCAGTCCACCTTTTTTTTCTTTTTTTAAAGAAAATCGCTGGATTAGACTGTTGAACCTCAGAGGGAGGGTGGGGATAAAAGGGAGAGATCAACCAAAGGACTTGTGTGTATACATATGAGCGTAACCAGTGGGCAAGGACAACGGCGGGCGGGGGAGGGGGGAATGGGGAGCGGGGCATGAGTGGGGAGGGGTGGGGGATAGGGATGAGGAGATGAGGACAAATATGTGATACCTTAATCAATGAAGAAATTAAAAATAAATAAAATTAATTAATTAATTAATTATTTGATACCTTAATCAATGAAGAAATTAAAAATAAATAAAATTAATTAATTAATTAATTAGTTAATTAATTAATTAAAGATAATGGCTTGTTTATGAATATACCTGACATTCAGGTTAAAGCAGTTTAAATGGAATACTTGGAAAAGAGCACCCCCATATCCCTCAGGTTAATTGCTGAGCCAGTTGTTTCCTGGCAAAGTGCCACGTGGTGTGGACAGGTTTGCTTTCTTTTTTAAACCTGTTTTTGCAGCAGGCGTCCTCTTCTCGTCTGGATGGCATGCACGCATTTTGGGTACCTCGTTCCCTTGATGCTGTGTGGAATGTGAAACTGTGACTTCCATGTTGCTGCAAATGTGAAATGGTAACTGGAAGGTTGTTAAGTGCCGCTCCCTTTCTCTTCTCCACCCTCCCATGTCCCACAGCCAAGACAATGCTGCTGCTGCTGCTGGGCCCCGCTGTGTTTGGCTGGAGGACATCCAGGCTCTGACAGGAGAAACCTTCAGAACAGATAAGAAACCAGATCCTGCAAACTGGGAGTACAAGTCTCTCTACCGGGGAGATATAGCAAGGTACCCATCCGATCTCTCCCTGATTTTCTCTCTCTCTCCTGAACTCTCTCAGCGCTGTCTCTGGCTGGCCGTAGATGCTGTTGGGCTTTTTAGCCACTGTTAAGTTCTTTAGGCATGTCTTATCTTACATTCCCAAATGAAAACTTAAACCTTGAGATCGGGATCCAGGTCGGAGTAATCTTATTTATCCATGGTGCTTGGGGAGCAGTGCCCGGCATCATAGGTGTTCATTAAGTATTTGTTGCATGAACGAATCTAAAAATACCGTGAAATAATTATGACATTCTGTCTGGAAACCATTTGACCTAATCTATATGCCATTTTAAAAAGTTGAAAAGCTTTTTATTTATCTCCCTTCCCCCATTTAAAAATGACCTTAAATGGTGATGAATTTTTCAAAATGTTTTCAGCATACATTACTGGATAATCATAAAATTAGGTGATTTGCTTTGGTAATGAATTTAAGTTTTTCTCCTCTAATCTATTAATAAAAAATATTTGAATACTTATTAAACCCTTTAGGTACTTAGTGCTTTGTGTGACACTTTTGGGAACATAAAGAACAATAATACACAATCTGTTCCCAAACAGCTCACAGGTAATCATTCAGAAGTGAAGGTAGAGGCTCATGGGATATAAGGCCAAGAGGACCTGTCCAGTTATTAAGATTCTGTAATAAGTGATAAATTGGCTACAACCTAAATGTCCACAGTAGGAAAATGGTTAAATAAACTATGGCATATTCCCAAATGGACCAGTTTGAAGCCAATAAAAATTACATATTTTAAGACTAATGGTGTGGGAAAATACTTTAAAAATAGGCAGAAAAGTCTGAAGCTATATAACTATTTTAATATGGGTTGTGTGTATACATGTAAATCTATACATACCCACATATCTGAAAGAAGATGCTTAAAAATATGGACCAGTAATATTTTTTCTCCATCATTTTCATCTAATTTGTTATGAAATGCAGCTATTAAAATTAGTTTTACAAAGTGTAGTTTTAAATTCAGAAAGCTCAGTAAACCTATTTTAGATATATGAATTTCTAAAATATTCATTTTTAGTGAAAATAAAATAGTAACAAAGGAGAACAAAATTAGTTTTTTACTTAAAATTTGTTCCTTGGGGAATGATAGGCTTATTTAGAGCAATTGTAGCAATATTTTATCTCCTCACCCTGTTGTTAAAGTTGTTTTTAACTCATAAATGGGACAGAGAGGTTATCTGGAGATAATCTAGGAGAAGGTGGAAGAGAGGATGAAGAGAAGGGTTTGAGAGATAGCTCGGACATATGTGTGAGACACGCTTCCCCCAAAGTGGACTCACTGCACCTGGGCAGCAAGGGAGCACAGGCAAGCAGAGCCGCTCGGGGTAGCTGTCGGCAGCAGGAAGCCAACGTGGTGCTGGCTCAGCCACAGGGTGGGGACAGAGCTCCCAGGAGATGGGTGTTACAGAAGATGCAGCGGGTCTCCTGCCTTTTCTCCTCTTGGCACTTTATTATGAAAATGTAAAAACATACAGCGTAGGTTGGAAGGATTTTACAGTGAACACTCATATACCTGCCCCCTGCATTCTACCATCTTATATAATAAAAGACTAATATGCAAATTGTCCCTTTGGGAGTTTGAGCGGGAGACCAGGAGTTCAATCACTTGCTATGATGTGCGCTGATTAGCAGGGAGCAGCGTGGAACATGGCGGGCAACCGGTGGTGGTGGTGGTGGTGATGGTGGTGGTGGTGGCACGCTGAGGGAGCGAGAGTGGTGGCATGGGCTGTGAGGAAAGGAGGCGGGGAGGTGGGGAACCTGATCAGCCCTAATTGCCAGGCAGGCCTGGGAACCCTACCCGTGCACAAATTTCATGCACCAGGCCTCTAGTTTTATTATTCTTGCCTTATATATCTCCCCATCTATCAACCCATATTAGTTTTTGATGCAGTTCAAAGTAAATTGCCAACGTCAATATACTACCCCCTAAATACTTCAGCATGGATATCCTTAACTACAGTGCAAGATTTGTTTCACATTTTTTCTTTTGATCTAAAATTTGCATATATTATAATACACAGATCTTCATTTGCTGAGTGCGACAGAGGAATGCACCTGGATAACCCAGACCTCTGTGAAAATGGAGGATACACTGTGACCCCAGAGAGTTTCCTCATGCTCCTTCCCAGTCAGTCCACACCAGTCAGTCCACAGACCTCCCCCGAGGCCGTCACTGTTCTAATTGTTTCTCATCATCAGTCAGCTTGGTCCCTTGTAGGATTTCATATCCAATGGGATCAGATAGCGTGTAGTGTGTAGTCCCTGTGTCTGGCTCCTTTCACTCAGCGAAATGGTTCTGAGCTTCCACCGTGTTGTGGCATTTACCACTGTTGGTCTCTTCTTCAGTTGGCAGACACCTGGACTCCTTCCAGTATTTGGCTGCTGTGAATAAAGCTTCTGAGAAAATTTGTGCCCAAGTATTTGTGTAGACATGTGGTTTCCTTTTTCTTGGGTAAATACCTAGGAATAGAATGACTGGGTCATAGGGTAGGTCTATACTTAGTTTTCTACAGAAACCGCCAGACCTTTTCCCAAAGTGCTTGTACCAGCGTATATTCCCTCCGACAGCACATGGGGGTCCTGGTTACCCTGAAGATGACTCACCAACATTTGGTATTGCCAGTCTTTTTAATGTTGGCCGTTTTGATGGGTATGTGGCATATCTCTGTGGCTTTAATTTGCATTTCCTTAATGACTCACGATGTCCAACACTTTTTTCACGTGCTTATTGGCCGTTCATGTCTTCTTGTATGACTTCTGTTCAGATCTTTCGCCCGTTTTTAAATTGGGTTGTTTATATAACATGTATACAGAGAAGTGCAGTTTTCCTGAGCTTTTGTGAAGCTAATCGGGAGTCATGTGTTCCTGGCTCTGGGGACGCCTACACGTTCCATAAAAGCATTTCAGAACCCAGCCTCTTTTCCTCTCGGTAGAAAATAGCCAGATGTAATTTTGTTTGACACACTTAGTTTCAGGATTAAAAAAGAACCGTAGACCTATATGTTATCTTTTTAAGTAGGGATGCAGGACCATACTGAGGGAAAGGAGACAGATGACTTGGTGTCACCTGAGGTCTCAGTGTCCTTATTTAGGAAGAGTGCAGAGGAGGGGGTGATGGCTCCTGCCTTGCCTGTCACCTGTGATTGTGACCAAACGATGTAATGTAGATGACAGGACTTGAACTACAAAGCTCCAGAAAAGTGTAAATTACCAACATCCAGGAGGCAGGCATGACCTTAAATTCATGAGACCTTAACAAAGACTTGAAGTGTTAGAGGAGTAAGTTAAATGGACAGAAAAAGTTCATTGCTAATCCTGTTTTCCTCAACAGAGACAGTTTGAAGGTAAGGTGAATTTAAATATATGCATTTAGCTTGCATAACAAGAGTTTTTTTTTGTTTTGTTTTTAAATATAATTGATTTTTTTACAGAGAGGAAGAGAGAGGGATAGAGAGTTAGAAACATCGATGAGAGAGAATCATCGATCAGCTGCCTCTTGCACAACCCCTACTGGGGATGTGCCTGCAACCAAGGTACATGCCCTTGACCGGAACCGATCTTGGAACCCTTCAGTCTGCAGGCCGACGCTCTATCCACTGAGCCAAACCAGTTTCGGCCATAACAAGAGTTTTAAGTGTGATGAACCTTCACCCATTCAGAGCTAGTACACATATTTCCTCAGTAAATTTCTCTCTTTTTTAAACTTAAGATACAAGAGGAAAGGAGACTCCTGCCTTGGCATTAACCCTAAGAAGCAGTGCATATCCTGGGAGGGGGCTCCCACGGAAAAGAAGCGGGCACACAAGCACGTGGAGCGCTATTTCACGAAGAAGAACGTGGGGCTGATGAGCACGGACGGCGTTGCCGTTAGCAGTAAAACGGACCCTCCCTCATCTGCGCCCATCTCCTTCATCCCAGTGAAGGACTCGGACGACGTGGTTCCTCCTGTTACAACCTGGTTGAACCCTCTGGGGATTTATGATCAGTCCACCACCCAGTGGTTACAAGGACAAGGACCTGTAGAGCAGGAATCCAAGCAGCCAGACTCACAGCCAGACCACGAGAACGTGCTTCTCAAGGCCCGAGTGGAGGAGTTTAACAGGAGGGTGCGGGAGAACCCTCGGGACACTCAGCTGTGGATGGCGTTCGTTGCTTTCCAGGTAAGCATCCCTGTCCCAGCTGTCCCACTGCACGGAGTGTGGCAGTCCTCATTTTGGCACAGCCATGTACTTGGGGAGCTCCCAGGAGGAACCCAGACACTGGGCATGTAAAGATTAGACTGTAGCCCTTGCCCTGAGCCTGGCCAGAGTGCAGGGAGAAGACTGTCATCTGGGGAGATGAATGCCTTCGTGTGTAATCGGGGGATGGAATGAGGGAGTGACTTGCCATAGAGAATAAGAAAGGGTTTCCTAGAGCAGAATCTTGAAAGAGGAGTGGATGCTCACCAGGAGGGGAAGGCCTTGGGGACGTCCAGACAGACCATGCGGACAGCCAGAATGTGGGAGAGAAGGGCTGCTCGTTGAGTTACCTCGTTAGGGCTACGTGCGCCCTTTCTAACATACACGGGTTGTCTTAGTTCCACTCACGTTTTTTTTGAACAACTTACACAATTATATTTTGTCCCTCATTTGACTGTTTTAATGATCAAGTTGATTCCAAAAAAGGTTTTCAAGGCATTGCATGCTAGTTATTGATACATAAATCTAAGTTTTAAATGACAATAGGCAGGTCAGTCAGGTGAAATAAATACAAGATCAGAATACTAGGTGGCACAGGCACCCAGGGAACTAAGCTGCCATTAGAAGAAATTTGATAAACTAGTGGTTATCACCAAAGTCCAAAGAGAAGTTCATTTTGAGAGATGAGGAACCTCTGGGGCTTGTAAGGAGCTGCCTGAGCAGCTGGGATCCGGAGGCTGCGGGTCCCTGTGCTGTGTAAATGGGTGTTTTTGTCGTTGAGGATGAGGTCATGAGAAGCCCTGGCCTGTATGCCATCGAGGAGGGCGAGCAGGAGAAGCGGAAGCGGTCCTTGAAGCTCATCCTGGAGAAGAAGCTGGCCATCCTGGAGCGGGCCATCGACAGCAACCCGAGCAGCGTGGACCTGAAGCTCGCCAAGCTGAAGCTCTGCGCCGAGTTCTGGGAGCCCTCCATGCTGGTCAAAGAGTGGCAGAAACTGATCTTCCTGCACCCCAACAACACAGCCCTTTGGCAGAAATACCTCTTGTTTTGCCAGAGCCAGTTCAGCACCTTTTCAGTATCCAAAATTCACAGCCTTTATGGAAAGTGCTTGAGCACACTGTCTGCTGTGAAGGACGGCAGCATCTTATCTCACCCTGAGCTGCCAGGCACCGAAGAGGCCATGTTTGGTAAGGACACAGTGACCAGGTCCATTTACTTGGGAGGAGTGATGCTGCCATTTATTTATTTATTTATTTTTTCTTAAAGGAGACGGAGAGAGAGAGAGAGAGAAACATCAATGATCAGAGAATCGTGGATTGGCTGCCTCCTGCATGCCCCCTATTGGGGATTGTGCCCACAACCTGAGCAGGTGCCCTGGCTGGGAATTGAACCGTGATCTCCTGGTCAGTGCTCAACCACTGAGCCACACCTGCTGGGCAAGTAATAATACTTTTGACTTTAATTGAAAATGAAGATTTGTTTTAGAGGAGTCTAAGTTGATAAACCTGATTGATAAATTGATAAAATTGATTAATCAAGAAAAAAAACTATGATGACTCCTTTTGACCATGATGGGTTCTTCCCCTCCAACTTTTTAGTGGTGGGAGGGAGTAGGAAGTAGTAGAGACAGCAGAGTTAGGAAAGTATCCTTGGCCCAGAAGTTCCAGCTTCTTTGGATACTAACCAGGGAGGCACAGTCAACACTCACCACTACTTTGGCTGCCAGCGGCCTGCTCTGTTGAGGTACCTGCGCTGCCCTCACCTCCAGCCCCAGGGTTTCGGGCAGTAATGCTTGTGGGACGCCCTCACTAACGGGAAACCTTTGCATAGGGATAGAGGTTACTGGTATTGTATGGTTAGCATTGTTGCTGTGTCCCAAAGGAGCCTAGAATATGAATTTGTCCAGTAGTGAGATATTAGAGACAGCATGGTATGCGAGAGCTAGAGAATGTCGCTCTTGATTTGAATCCTGCGTTTGCCCTTCAGTGGTTCTGGTATGACCTTGGATGAGTTCCTTAATCTGTTTAGGCCCCTGTTTCTCCCTTAGCAACAATAGTATGCTACTTGCCTTACAGTGTTATATGGTGAAACTATATGGTGAGTCTAGCTCAGTGTCCAGCACACCACAGGCAGTTATTGGGTCAAAATCCTGCTATTGCAGTGAAGTTCTAAAGATCTAGATATGCTGCTCTAGAGATAACAGGCATTTACCACAGAGGCATAACGAGCGGTGTGTTTGCTGTCATTTGTGATGTGCTCAAATCGATACTTAGTAAATGGAATCGCACCACATATAGGCAAACTGAAACGTTCAGGCATCGAACCTTGATTTGTTTACAGCCGACTGAGCGTATGATGAAAATTGCTGGTGAATAATGCCATCTAGTGCTCCACTGAGTACAGATCTTGGCTTTCTGATTAAAAAAAAAAAAAAATTTTTTTTCTAGAATTTTTCTTGTGGAAATTACTAGCATTTAAACAAGGGCCATAAGTAAGGGAGAAAAGGGACATAAGTGAGTCTTGTTTTCTCTCTCCATGTTCCACCACCTTCATCGTGGAAGTTTCCTTGGGTTACTAGCATCCATCTGAGAAACATTCCTTTGAGTTTTTGATAATCAATATTCAGACCAACCTCTTGCCTTACATTTATGTATTTGTAGTTTTTATTGTTAAATATTTGTGTTCTGTGATGGTTTTATATAAAAATTAATTGCATAGACTTTGATTTACAGAGCTGTTGTGAGTCCTTTTAAAGCGGGACATTTAGGTATCACAACTTGGAAAATACAACAGTAACTGATTTCAGAGAGATGTTCTCAGTGTGACTGTATCTTAGAATTCAGGTTTTTTCTCGCTGGTGCTAACCAGAGCTCTCTGCCTGCTTCCAGTGCTCTTCCTGCAGCAGTGCCACTTCCTGCGCCAGGCCGGGCACGCAGAGAAGGCCGTCTCCTTGTTCCAGGCCATGGTCGACTTCACCTTCTTCAAACCCGACAGCGTCAAAGACCTGCCCACCCGAGGACAGGTAGGAGCTCCGCTTTCCTTCCTCTCGGCCCTCTTCTCCCTCCCCTTCTTTCCTTTCCTGCTCATCTCTCTTTTGCGGCGAGGGATGGATCATGGGAGGTGGTGGTGGTATTTTTTTTTTTTTTTTAATCTTCACCTGAGGATATTTTCCCATTGATTTTTAGAGAGAGTGGAAGGGATAGGGAGAGAGAGAGAGAAACACCAATGTGAGAAAGACACATTGATTGGTTGCCTCCTGCATGCCCATTAACAGGGCTGGGAGCCTGCAACCGAGGTACATGCCCTTGACTGGAATCAAACCTGGGACCCTTCAGTCCGCAGGGTGACACACTATCCACTCAGCCAGACCAACTATGGCGGAAGTGGTAGTATTTTTAAAATATCGATACCATATCTTCCTTTGTATTAGACCTGCTGAGGATTGTTTAGCAATCCAAAGAAAATTCCATGATGAAGGTGGTGAAACATGGAGAGAGAAAACAAGAGTCTCCCCTCCCCCAATATAAAGACTCACTTATGTCCCTTTTCCCTTAACTTATGGCCCTTGTTTAAATGCTGGTGATGCCCACAGTCAGGAAAACCGTTGTCTTGCCTACTTTTGTGCGTTCTTAGGTGAGTCTTTTGTAACTTCTCCTCATAATCTTTCCACTGCTCAAATCTCCGCTGGAGTTGCCAAGGGAATGCCACGCTGGCACTTTGTCAACACCGATCCTAATTGGGGGGGTTAGTCTTTCAGGTGACAAGCGAGCGTGACCAGTGTTTGTGATGTAAAGCAGTAAGAAAACCTCAACTCAGAGCTATTCAATCAGAAAGCCTTCTTTTCCCTTTTCCAGGGAAGAAAACCCAGTTTGCTGTTCTGCAAAGGGTATGTGGAGAGAGATAGGATCTCTGAATTCATGGCGATCTTTCAGAGGTCTTTTTTGAGAGGCTAAGGTCTGCATCTTGTAGAATTTTTTTGAATTGCCTATAAAGACTGTTTTTAATCATTTTTTCCCACTAGAAAAAAACAGGATTTTATTGTTGTCCTGTCGAAGGGCAGGTCTTTCGGGACGGAGGGGTGAATTTTGACAGCAGGGAGGGACCCCTACTTGCCAGCCATGAGCGGGCTCCGCAGGACCACAGTGGCCGAGCCCCTGTCCAGGAGCCGTTCCTCATGGACTGGCTTGGACTTCCTGCCCTGGCCTCTCGGGGCCCTTGGTCCACATCTCCTTCCCTGTCCAGCCCCATGTCCCATCACTTTTTGCCATATTCTTGGTCCAGACCATACTCAAGGCTGTGAATCCCACAGCCCTGAGGGCTACCGTGGAGGCTGCCCCTCCCCCCCTCCCTTCCCCACTAGATAATTCCATGTCTGCTTTGGGGAGTGTGTTACAGAGACTGATGGCGGGAAAGGTTTCACGAAGCATAGCCCCTCCTATGCCAGCCCACACTTCATTTGCCCGGTGACTCGGTAGTGTTGTGCAGGTTGGGCTAACCTCCACGTCTTACCTCTGAACAGGTGGAGTTCTTCGAGCCCTTTTGGGACAGTGGAGAGCCCCGGGCTGGGGAGAAGGGCGCCCGAGGCTGGCGGGCGTGGATGCACCAGCAGGAGCGGGGCGGCTGGGTGGTCATCAACCCAGGTAAGGCCCTCGCTGAGAGCACGCGGGCGGGTCTTCTTTCTGGAGCTTGTTTTCACGTCGTCATGGTTATTCGTTTATAAGCCATTAGCAGTAGTTTAAGAACATGGTACAAACGTCAGAAGTGCATTAAGTAGATGTCCCCGGAGAATAGACTGTTTTCCTCTTCGAGCCTTTGAAGCGGTTCCTGCATCCTGCTTGGAGGCTTTGAGATCTCCCAGTTGAAATGCTTCATGTTTCCTTTTCTGGCTCCTGAAGAGCCGGTCTTGTTGCTAATCCCCACCCCTTTTTAGTGTGTATTTAAGGCAGTCTTTTTGTTTTCTTGGCAGTGTCCAGATCATTTGAAAATTACATGCCTTTTAAGGAATACTATAAAATCATTAACTAGCAAAAAAAAAAATTATTAACTAGCATTTCTATAAATGTCATTTTAAATGACTCCAAAGTACTTTCCAGTTACCCTCTAAAACAGCCTTGACCAACAGAAATAGAACTCAAGCACATGTGTAACTTCTCATTATCTAGTAGCCATCTAAAACAAGCGAAAAGAGGTGAAATTAATTCTGATAATGTGTGTTGTTTAACCTAGTATGTAAAGACATTAACATTTCAACATTTAATCAGGAGTAAGAAACTAACGAGGTGTTTGCATGCTTCCCCATACGAACTCTGACACCTGGCGTGTGTTTTCCTGTGTAGCACATCTCAGCTCAGACAGCCACTTTCAGGGCTTGAGAGCCACATGTTAACGCTGCCGTGTTGGCCGGTGCAACTTTTAGCTGGGCAGGAAGTGCTTCATCACCTGGTTTCATTGCACGAGTGAGGGAGAGAGGGTGGATGGCACTCACCTGGCTCGGCCAGCCCCTTTTCACAGGTAGCACCTTCCAGTTCTCATCTGAGAAACGGAAACTTGGGATTGGCTGGGCTCTCCCTGGCAGTGCCCAGTTGCAGGCCAGGTGGCATGTCTGTCACCTCTTAGGCGGGGCCTGCAGGTGTTTGGGGTAACTTTGCCAGCACTTGTTTTCTGGGTAACTTTGAAGATTTTTTTTTTTTCCACTTAGCATAGTTCCCCTGAGATTCAGCCAACTTGTTGTGTGTGTCAATAGTTCATTCATATTTATTGCCCAGCAGTTCCATGACATAGCTGTAGCAGTTTGTGTATGTTGTTCCCAGCTCTGGCTGCTGTGAATAAAGCTTTGCTGTGGGCATTAGTGGATAGGGCTTTGTGTGAACACAGATTTCCATTTCCTGGCATCGGCACCTAAAAGTGCAATTGCTGGGCCTTATGGGGAGTGCATGTTTAGTTTTATAAGAAACTGCCAAACTTTCCCAAGTGGCGATACCATTTTACATGCCCTGTTTGTTTCTGTGTAAATGTGGAACTTTACAGGTGATTCAGACTCTTCTCCTCTTCCATTCTGCATGCTCAGAGTCAGGAAACAGGACAAAGGATATCACTGAAGGATAAAGGATATCACTGAAGGATATCTTGAGTTGACATTTTTTAAAAGAACTGAACATAGTTCATAATCGTAAGGTCACTGGCTAAAAATTCTGATGGCTTAAGAAAATCTAAACCAATGTTGTCATTAAATGCCATTTAACATTCTAGAATGGTGTTGTCCAGTAGTAGCCACTAGCCACATGAGGCTATTTTAATTAAAGTTAATTAAAGTGGAATAAAATTAAAAACTCATTTCTTCTACCAGCTACATTTCAAGTGCCAGTAAGTCCCCTGTGGTGGTGGCTATTCTGTCAGCACAGATATAGAACATTGGGTCACCACAGAAAGCTGTGTTGGTCAGTGCTGTTCTAGAATATATGTCCTCTAGAATTTTCATTGGTGTGATAGTGTTAAAAATAATCAGATTCCATTAGCTGACTCACCGTTTTTTTGAGGGATCTTGATTGTGTTTACAGGAGAGGCCTTCCGGAAGGCTGGGCCTAGGTAACTCTTACTCACCTTGGCATTCCAGGTACCACAGGGGCTGGCATCCAGGTGGATTTGGTGGTTGGTGGTGATGGTTTTATTTCCCAGTTAGGTGAGCTGGAAGTTTTGTTTTTGCCTAGATGAGGATGATGATGAACCAGAAGAGGATGACCAGGACATCAGAGATAAGACTCTGCCCAAATGGCAGATCTGGCTTGCTGCCGAGCGATCCCGAGACCAGAGGCACTGGCGGCCGTGGCGCCCTGATAAGACCAAGAAGCAAACGGAGGAAGACTGTGAGGATCCAGAGAGACAGGCAAGTACCCACCCAGGAGGGACCCCAGCCAGGGGGTCTCTCCATGCCCATTGGGTTTGGGCTCTCGGAGCACTCGCCTGGCTTAGGAGATGCTAGTCTGGCTCTTGTCCCTGTCTGGAAACTTCCCTCTCATCGAAAACCAGGGCAGGACTTCATTGGCTGCTGGTGATGAAGGACCTCAGAGGCGCTTGACCAGGTAGTTCCTGCCCTGAATAGGAGCGATGGTCTTCCAGGTTGTTCAGTTACCTTTTCACATGAAAACCAGAGGGCTCAGGTTTAAAAACACGGAATTCCTGTCCTAGGTTCTTTAACTGTGTCCGCTTTCCCCGCCTTCCTTATTCCCTCAGACACATAGCAGAGAGCTTTGACTCCAGAAGACAAGGGGGACTGGATGTAGGGCCAGTTGGGGACATTTGGCGTACAGCTAATCTTGCTGGAGAGGGAACTAGCATTGCACTCACTGCTGTGTGCCAGGCATTGAGCTCCCGTTACTCTGTTACCGCATGATTCACTATGTGTTGCTCTGTCTTGTGGCCACATCTCTGGGAGCTTTCCTTTAAAATAAAGAAAAAGAGCCGAGACCGGTTTGGCTCAATGGATAGAGCGTCAGCTTGGGGACTGAAGGGTCCCGGGTTCGATTCCGGTCAAGGGCATGTACCTTGGTTTGCGGACACATCCCCAGTGGGAGGTGTGCAAGAGGCAGCTGATCGATGTTTCTAACTCTCTATCTCTCTTCCTTCCTCTCTGTACAAAATCAATAAAATATATTTTTTTTAAATAAAGAAAAAGATTCTCTTTTGATACCTGGAATTGACCCAGCTTCACAAGGTACATTTTATATTGCTTGGGATAAAATGTAATAAGTATGTATTATATAACATGGGATAGTATGGACAGAGTAGGGAGGCTTGTCAGCTTTGGAATGGTTTGTTGTCTGTTACATGCCTCGAGGGTGAAGATGTCACTGCTGAACCCCCAGTGCTTGGTGCAGGGACTGTCCCCAGGCGAGTGTGCATATGAGCTCCCTCTCCTGGCTGTGGTCGGTGGTGATTGAGGGTTTTGAGAGTTCATTACCCTTCCAGAAGTCAGTTCTCACGGCTTAAAATCTGGGCAGTTTCCTGGAAGTTCATTTCTGGAGCACACTACTGCTGCAAGCAGTGTCTTGTCACTTAGCTTTTTCTCTACGCCAAGTCTGGAGATTTCTGATTGACTGATGGTTTTGATTAGTTGACTCCATGTAGTCCTTTGCTCAGAGCCACAAAGATCAGATGTGCAGGACCTTGGAACAAAGCCTTACATTTTAAAGTTATACTTGAAGTCAGCTATGAACACTCACCATTGGTATTAGGCTCTTAAAATTGCTCTCAACACATCCTTGCTCCTATAGTTTCCTTCTTTCCTTCCCTTCCTGCTGTTTATCTATTTTTTTAAAGCATATTTTTCATTTCCTAAAGCAGTTTTGTACAAAAAAACAACAACACAGAATAATAAAGTTATTCTTCTATCTTAAAAAAAAAATTTACACTTGTAACTACAAAACAATTGTGTAACCTTTCAGAAATGAGTGATTCTAGATTTTCTATGAATCCAACAGGATACTTGGGAAATTTTTGGCTTCAGCCTGCCCATGGGCCTCCCTCCTTCTGAGAATCCCAGGGGTGTGGGAACCCTACCAGCGTTGCGAACTCACTCTGCAGCGCTCTCGGTTGTCTTGAGAGGCCTCTAGCTTTTTTGCATCTTGCAGAAAACCTAGCTCCTATCTCTTCAAAATTGTCTAATGTTGAATCACTATACATTCATGTGAAGAGAATTGTGGGAGAATTGTGATGATTTTTTCTTTGTTCATTACAATAAATAAACCAAGCCCCTGAACAGGTCCCTCTGTCTTGATTGCAGGTGCTGTTTGATGATATCGGACAATCTCTAATCCGACTCTCCAGCCAGGCTCTTCAGTTCCAGCTGATTGTGGCCTTCCTGCAGTTCTTGGGCGTGCCTGCTGGCTTCAGCCCTCCAGCCTCCTGCCTCTACCTGGCCATGGATGAGAACAGCGTCTTCGACAACGCGCTTTATGACGAACAGCCATTGACTTCTCCCAGCCTTTCATTTTCTGGCGTCAGCTGTGTCGGTCGCACGGACCAGTTGGGCTGTCGGCGCTGGACCAGGGGGCACAGCCGAGAGGGCGAGGAGTTCATCCGCAACCTCTTTCACCTGGTGATGCCTCTGTTTTCAGGCCCGGAGAGGTCCCAGCTCTGCTCCTCCTGGCTACGGTACGAGATCGCAAAGGTAACTCCGGCCCCTCCACCCCGCATGGGGACTGCCCTCTCCGTCCGTATTGATAAAGGCTCTTGGTGTTCTTCAGGGTCCTGGGCCACAGCACCTTGTTCTTCAGGGACCATAAAGGCACCTGGTGTGTGGCTGCCCTTTTGGAGGGGCCAGAGCCAAGAGGAATGCAGGAGTGACTGGGCTATTTGTGTTGATTCTCGTATCAGCAGATGCTTGTTATTATGTGAGCTCTTAGTGTTAAGAACCAAGCTTAAGCTTAAGCAGGGTAAGAGGGTTTAGGGGCTTATTAAAATAGATAAAATAAGCTACTTACCCTGCTCTTTTATCTGTGTATCTGCTAGAAATTTGTCTAGAATAGACTCTTCCGCCCTCTGCTGGTCAAAGTTAGTATAGAATCTTAACCCCTAAAGTTCCAACGTTTTAACTACAGATGGCACACACCAGGTTGTATTATCTTTTATATATATATATATATATATATATATAAATAAAAGGCTAAGTGTCTGGTCAGCCGGTTGCTATGACACGCACTGACCACCAGGGGTCAGATGCTCATCGCAGGAGCTGCCATGACGTGCACTGGCCATTTAAAAATAAATGGCACCACAGACCTAGTGCCCACAAAGCAACACTTGGCTTCTTCCAAGTGGGACACGGGCCCCACCACCACTCCAGGGCAACACCCCACCAAATCACAACCGGTGCTGCCAAGAGCCCATGGCACAAAATGCAGCCCACAGCCCAGCCCAGCCCAGAAACGGTCACTGTGGGCGCCAGGTAATGACATCATGTAGCAGTGCCCAGCTTCTTCTCCCTAGCGACTAGCCTCCTTGGAGTTTCTGCAGCCCAGGAACCCAACTTGCTTTATAGCCAGGTGGAAACATTTTACAGTTTAACCAAATGTCTGTGAAGCTTTTTCATGTGCCTTATCTCATTTGATCCTCACAGAAGTCCTGGAACAGATAGATAGGAGGCTCAGTAGAATTCTATTTTCTTTTTATTAGCCGGAAAACAGATTTAGAAAGCTTAGAAACTTGACCTGACTGAAAAGAAGAAATGGTGGAACTTGAAAATGACTTCAGGTTTTCTCACTGGACAGAATATAGTCAAACACTGCTGCAGTTAAATAATTTACCCCTTGTTCTGCCTGTGCGATCTACAATAATCTGCTTCATTTTGATATTTATTGCTGTGTTGCTGACAATTACCTGAAAGAGAAGCTAGGGTGCTTCACTGGGCTGGGAAAAGTTTAGCTAAATCAGAAAGCAGGTCTAATTAAGCAAGTTTATTCTATCGATATATATACTAGAGGCCCAGTGCACGAAAATTCGTGCATTCAGGGGGAAGGGGAGTTCCTCAGTCTGGCCTGCACCCTCTTGCAGTCCTGGAGCCCTCATGGATGTCCACCTGCCAGCATAGGCCTGCACCCTGGGGGATCGGGCCTAAGCTGGAAGTCAGACATCCCTCTGGCAGCTCAGGAGCCTTCAGGGGATATCCGCTCCCCAGAGGAAGCAGGCCTAAGTTGCAGTAGGACATCCTTAGCACTGCCAAGAAGGCAGGAGAGGCTTCCCCCACTGCTGCTGCACTCACAGCTGTCAGCCTGGCTTATGGCTGAGCACAGCTCCCCCTATGGGAGTGCACTGACCACTAGGGGGCAGTTCTTGTGTTAAGTGTCCTCCCCTGGTGGTCAGGGCATGTCATAGCGACCAGTAGTTCCCAGTAGTTCTGCCATTAGGGTCAAATTGCATATTATCCTTTTATTATCCTATATAATAGGTAATATGCAAATTGACTGTCACACCCTTCCTCAAGATGGCCATCCCCCTTGTGGTCACAAGATGGCCGGCAGGGGAAGGCAGTTGTGGGCGACCAGGCTGGCAGGGGAGAGCAGTTGGGGGTGACCAGGATGGCAGGGAAGGGCAGTTAGGGGCAACTGGGCTGGCAGGGAAGGGCAGTTAGGGATGACCAGGCCGGCAGGGGAGAGCAGTTTGGTGCCATTGGGCCGGCAGAGGACCAGTTAGGCTTCGATCAGGGGTGATCAGGCTGGCAGGCAGAAGCAGTTAGGGGGAGTGGTTAGGGGCAATCAGGCAGGCAGGCAGAAGCAGTTAGGGGGAGTGGTTAGGGGGTGATCAGGCTGGCAGGCAGAAGTGGTTAGGGGCAATCAGGCAGGCAGGCAAGGAGTAGGGAGCCAGTGGTTCCAGATTGTGAGAGGGACACTAGTTAAAGTATAAAATTGGGAGACTGCCTTTCTGGAGAAGAACATTTAGAGTATGTCAGCCTTGTTTATAGAGGTTTCCGATGGAAACCTGGATGTTTCATTTTGGGGTTCCTGTGGCTTTGGTAAAAAATCCTGATTTGTGCCTGGCTAGTGTGCCCAGTGGTTAGAGCATCAAGCCGTGCTCCAAAAAGTATTGGGTTTGCTATCCAGTTAATAGCATGTACCTGGTTTGCAGGTTTGATCCCGGCCCCAGTCAGGGCATGTGCTATAGGCAACCAGTTGATGTGTGTCTCTCACATCTCTCTCTCTCTCTCTCTTTCTCTCTTCCTTCCCCTACCCTCTATCCCTTCCACTCCCTCCAAAAATCAATAGAGGAAAGAGAAATCCTGATTTGTTTCCCAGCTCAGAGAGCCTAAGTGTTTACCAAGCATGTGGTGGGGAAGAAAGTGTAGACGCCTCGTGTGGCTTTCTCAGGCTGAGAGTAGCCCGGGATTGCTTTAACATCTTAGAGCACATGGAGTCATCTTTCCTTTTCACCTCTAGGTCATTTGGAGCCTCCTCACTAAAAACAAGAAAAGGTTAAAATCACGAGGAAAGAGCTGCAAAAAACTAGCCAAGAATCTCCTTAAGGAGCCAGAAAACCGCAACAATGTTTGCCTCTGGAAGCAGTATGCACATCTGGAATGGTTGCTTGGCAACACAGAGGACGCCAGAAAAGTGTTCGATACAGCACTCAGCTCGGCAGGGAGCCGGGAGCTGAAGGACCCGGAGGTCTGTGAGCTCAGTCTGCTCTATGCTGCGCTGGAGCTGGAGCTGGCGCCGGACACCAGAGTGGCCACCGCAGCCCGAGCTGTCCACATACTCACCAGGTTGGCTGAGAGTGGTCCCTACGGGCCCTATACTGGCCAAGTCCTGGCTGTTCACATTCTGAAAGCTCGGAAGGCTTACGAACACGCACTGCAGGACTGTTTGGCTGAGAGCTGTGTCTCCGATACAGCTGCCGCCGCCTCCCTTAACCGCCTAGTCAGCGTGGTTAAATGCTTTATGCTCTTCCAGTATCTGACCACAGGGATCGATGCCGCTGTGCAGATACACGAGCAGGTGTTTGCAAAACTGAAGGGCTCTCTCTCCCCAGAAGGCCCGGTCCTGGAGGCCAGTGCCTGCCCCTCGGGTGTGAGCGTGAGCAGCGTCCTCGAGGCGGTCACACTGATGCACACGAGCCTGCTCAGGTTCCACATGAAAGTCAGCGTCTACCCTCTGGCTCCCCTGCGGCAGGCGCTCTCGGAGGCTCTGAGGCTGTATCCAGGCAACCAGGTTCTGTGGCGGTTCTACGTCCAGGTTCAGAGCAAGTCCCACAGCGCCAGCAGGACCAGGCGGTTCTTCGACGCAGTCACCAGGTCTGCGAAACCCCTGGAGCCTTGGTTGTTTGCCATTGAGGCTGAGAAAATGAGGAAGAGACTGGTGGAGACTGTCCAGAGGTAATGACGTTCATCTTGTTCATGTGCCCATACCTTTTTTTTCTTTTTTAAAAAAAATATAGTTTACTGATTTTTTACAGAGAGGAAGGGAGAGGGAGAGTTAGAAACATCAATGATGAGAGAGAAACATCGATCAGCTGCCTTCTGAACGCCCCCCTCTGGGGATGTGCCCGCAACCAAGGTACATGCCCTTGACCGGAATTGAATTGGGGACACTTGAGGCCACAGGCCGATGCTCTAATCACTGAACCACACCGGCCAGGCAGTGTGTCCACAACTTTATGGAATGTGTGCACATCCTCCAGCCTCTGAGCCTCAGGGGTACAGAAACGAACACGGCCAGAGCTTGCACACAGGTGTGGGTGTATAGAAGAGACCTGCAAAGAGCAGCATCTTGCATTAGAGGCTTTTGTGGCCGTCCTCCTAGGCCATGGCCTCTGGGACCCTGCGCCTCGCTTATGGTGCGTAGGTGGGAATGGTCAGGCCTCCAGTATCGGAGACGCTGTGGTGAAAGCATATGGGTAAGAGCCAGGCCCTGGAGTTGGATTCTGGGTGCACATCCCAGCTCTTCCAGTTACCAGCTGTGTGACCTTGGGCAAGCCACTCCGCCTCGGACAGGTTCCTGAGAAGCAAGGCCTGGGTGTGTGAGAAACCACAGAACCCCGGACACCGCCTTCCTCTGGCTGTGGAGGAGCGCGTCCCATCTGTACTCCACACACCCGCTCCCCAGACCTGAGGGACAGCCTGCCTCCCACAGCTGCCACCCCGTTGCTGCTGACGTTCTTTGTCACGAACGCAGGCACCTCTGCCTCTTGTGATGTCAGTGTGAGAACTTCCCGGGGTTTCACGAGCCCGTGTCTTGCAGGGTAGATGGCAGAGAGGTCTACGCCACGATTCCTGAGACCGGCTTGACGCACCGGATCAGAGCCCTGTTTGAGAACGCCATCCGGAGTGAGCACGGCAGCCAGTGCCCCTTACTGTGGAGGATGTACTTGAGTTTTTTGGTAAGAAAATACTTGGAGTTTGTTTTTTGTTGTTGTTTTTATGTGGAAAGGGCAGGTGTCCAGGGGCCCTGGGCGGGAAAGCTGGGAGGCGCTTCCTTTCCCTTGCCCCCGGATGGGGATAATGTCAGGGCTCTCGGGGTTGCACGTAGCAGTTTTAGTGGGGTATTTGGGGAATGACAGGAAGGAGGAGTAGCTGGGTGTTATGGTGTGAGGCTTAGTCAGTATTTAGGGACTGTTGTTGGCGGCCTCGGAGGCTTTTACGTGAGGACCATACCTGCAGCTCTGCCCTTTCCGTAGCTGTGACTTCAGTCCCGGGTAGAGTCCCGAGACGCTTCCAGGTGCCCGAGGAGAGACACTTTCCCCGTCACAGCCCCCCGGGGCATGGCGTGCATGGGCGTCACCCACTGGTTAGATCTCAGCCCTGACTTAGGAACCGTACCAGGGTCGGGTTGAAGATGAGGAAATTAGAAGGTGGGCGCTGTGGTGAGAAGGAGCAGTTACATCCAGGCCGTTGTAGAATAGGAAATTCCGAACGGAGAGGACCAGTGGTGTCACAGGCTGTCCCTGGGCCGAGACCCTTCTGGGCAGCCCAGCGGGAGTGTGGTGGCCGGTTGGAAATCGCAGAGAGAGGGTCTCCTTTGAGGCTGGGCTGCTGGGTCCAGGGCCTCTGAGTCTCACAGACACGGTGGGTGAGAACTTGCCGTAGTGAATCTTCTAAAAGTTTGTCAGTATTTTAGGAGAGGACATTGAAGTGCTTTGTAGGGACAGCTCACACTGGCTCCTGGGGTGCGAGGCAGAGGTCTAGCCTCAGAGCGGCCGAGGCTCATGCAGGGTGGGAAGCAGGAGTGTCCAGCTTGGAGGCTCTGTGGAGGGACATGGGGAAGCTTGAACCTTCGATCACAGATGCTGGGTACAGCCCAAAGGTACAGTCTCGGTGATGGTGTGCGGTAACGTGAAAAAATGGAAGAGGAAGTGAGCTGGCCTTGTAGGCAGATCTCCCGAGGCACAGATTGGAGTCTCTAGATGCCAATGCCAGGGTTTCCGGAAGGTTGGTCAGCAACCCTCACTGAGCCATGCCGGATGCCAAGCACCAGCCACCTGGCAGAGACTTGGCGTCCCCTAGAAGGTTCTGGGAATGATTCTGGAGGAGGTGGGTGGGTGGATGCAGTCCAGAAACAGACTTCAGCTCCGTGAGCTTGGCTTGTGCCCACCACAGCTGCAGACACCTGGCAGCCTGGGGAGCTCCCCGGTGGGCTGAGTGCATGGAGGAGCCACCAAGGGACAGGCCCCTTCCTGGGAGGAGGGAGAGGCCCCGGGGTGTGTGTGTGTTTGTATGTGTGTGTGTGTGTGTGTGTGCCACCTGCAGGTCTGGCTCTCACAGTGGGTGTGGAGAGAGGGCGTGTCTCAATTGAGACTAAGGATGTTATACTGGAGAGACCTGCCGAATGTCTACACCCTCTCAGGCTGAAATGCCTGCCTGAAGTTTACGTTCAGTGTGTTACCCATTCAGCAGTCCGGGCTCTCTTTTCTCGGAGAAAGTTTTCAGAAAATGGCACGTGATAAAGCAGAGGTCTTCTCTGTGTAAAGCCATTCAGGCATTGTTAGGAATGAAAGGCTGCGGCCGCAGGAGAAATGAAGGCCGGCCGGAAGTGTGACCGGTCAGCACTCTGGGCCTGTTGCTGGAGGAATGGACCCCGCACAGCAGGGGCCCCGGTAGCTAGCGTCCCCTGGTATGTAGACACCCGGTAGCTGCTGTGCGGATATCCTCACGGGTGGCTGCAGCTGAGGACCCTCAGCCGACCTGCTTCAATTCATTTTTGTGTCCCCCCCCCCCCCCCCCAGGTTTCGTTAGGAAACAAGGACAGAAGCAAGGGTGTGTTCTACAAAGCACTTCAGAGTTGTCCTTGGGCAAAGGTAAGTTCTAAAGGCCACGGTATGTCCTGACACCCGAGGACCTTCCTGCCCTGTCAGTCCCTTTGTCCGCCTGCCTGTCCCTGTCAGGGAGATGGGGCCCATCCAGGCCCCTCTGGGGGAACTGCCTGAGCCAGTGGGTACGTTTCCTGTCTCTGCGTGGAGCTGGGGTTCAGGGGTGTTGCTGTGGGTTTCCTGGTGTTCGCCCAGAGACAGCAGGCGTTGGGATCCATGGCCGTCTGCCCTGCAGAGTCCAGTCAGACATGAGAAACCTGTCTGCCAGCTGGTCCCACCTGGAGTTGACTCTTTCCCTCTGCCCTGAGGTCATGTCCTCTGATGTGCTGAGGCGTTGCCAAGGAGGCAGGACATCGAGGAGCTGGTGGGCTGTGGAGGGGCCAGAGGGCAGGCCTGCCGGAACAGGGTGGCTGGTGACCGGGCGGTGGCTCTCTGCCCTAGGCCTTGTACATGGACGCTGTGGAGTACTTCCCCGATGAGATGCAGGAGATCCTGGACCTGATGATGGAGAAGGAGCTCCGAGTGCGCCTGCCCCTGGAGGAGCTGGAGCTGCTGCTGGAGGACTAGAACCCGGGGATGGGCCCCGCCTCAGGGCTGTCCCTGCCCTGGGAGCCGGGGGAACACGAGGTGGGACCAGGTGTGCGAGCATGCGTGCCAGCAAACCCGTTTTTAAAGTTTTCTAGATAATTTGTGTCTGGTTATGTCTCATCTCCTGCACATTTTTTTGGATGTGCCAATGACAGAAGCCCTCGTCTTACATGTTATGTATGCGAATCTTGTGTTTACATGTACATAGAACAGGCCGTGGTAACCAAACCTAGTGTGCTTGGTGTGTGCGTGTCGTCCCGCTCCTCCTCTCCTAGCCAGCGACACGGGTGAATGACCCGCTCAGAGGCACCTTGGTGGTCCTTGCCAAGTCTTTTGGGTTTAGTCTTGATTAGAAAGGTGTGGTTACTCAACACCTGCACCTCCTCCCCTGGGACTGGCTAGTAGAGCAGATTTGCCCTATCTTCAGATCAGGGCAGTATGCAGTCATTAAAACTGGGAGTTCCGGCTTGTATCAGGCGTACTTAGAGTCTGTTATTCCCTCAACCTTCTTGGTGACGCCTCCAGCGTGGACCAGCCTGTTAGAGATGTGGACCCAGGCCCGCCCCAGCTCTGCCGAGTCAGCGTCTGCTCAGACAGGACCCCGGGGACTCGTGTGCAGTGGGGAAGGCACTGCCCGAGACAGTCCTGCTGAGGGGAGCCGGGCCGCAGTCTGCCAGCTCTTTCCACCAGACCACCCCTGCCCCTGACCTGCGGAGGCAGCGTCCTGTGCGCCAGCGCCGCTGAGGAAGGGGTGTTTTGAGGGCTGCCCAGCTGCTCTGGCTTTTTAAAGTCACCATCTCTAGAATCACACAAGAAAAATTTATTTGGAAACTCATCCAGGAAAGCCAGTATGTGGACTAGAACTTTGGCTACAAACAGATGGACATGAGGTTGGGAAAAGGGGAGGGTGCTGTGTTAGAACCCACGGGGATGTTGGCCAGCCAGGGACACTTGCTGCTCCCCTTACTGGCTTTCAGACTAAACGGTTGCAAGGAAGAGAAGTACAGGAATTCCACAGAGAAAAGGAGAGAAGCTCTGACACTTACAGATGCTCTTAAGGACGAGATTTCTGAACCCAGGGACAAGGAGGGCAGGTCTGGTAGGAGACTCTTCACCCCTGACCTTTGCAGGCTTCTCTTATCAGCACCAATGCTTTTTTCCTACACCCACTACCCCCAAGTGCTGGGAACCCACAGCCACAGGACACAGCCTTTGTTGCTAGGGCCTCAGTGATGCTGGCATGTGGCTATGGTTACGTCTTCCCCACTGGCTGCTGTGGTGCAGCCACCACCCGCCCTGGGGTGTGATGTGAGGGCACGGGTATTGAAGGCTGCACTCGGATCGCCCAGAACAGAAGCTTCCCTGACACCAAATCCACCTGCCAAGCGGTGGTATGGCTGCTCCAGAGACAGACGAGTGCTTGAGAAAGAGCTTGCTTTATTGGGAACGGAGCTGCGTCGGGCTCCTACATGTGGTGCTCAGAGGTGCACAGCGCACAGAATGGGTCGCTAACGAAGAGCAACTGGAAAAGGATCCTCTGGGCAACTTCCCACCACCCCCTTCCCCGGGGCCCCACTCCTGGGCACTTCCCCAACGGAGGTTCCTAGAGATAAAGCCCCTCGGGGGTGCCTTCCTGTTTTTTATACAAAACGTTTTCTTTCGATTTTTTGAAGTCTTCATTTGTTACTTTCATTCTGCGTTCCCTCAAGGCCATGAGACCAGCTTCTGTGCAGATTGCCTGTAAGAAAGAACGGGATGTATGGAAAGTGAAATACTTTTATTTTTTATTCTAACAATTCAGAGAGCTGTTTTGAAGTAAGGTGGAAGACACTTGTTTTAGACACAAATTACTCAAATTTACTTGGGAAGAGATTAGATTCTTTAAAATGCGTTAAGCATTGTAATTGTTTTCTCAGAGGGTCCAAGGCGGCTTAGAATGCAGGAACTAAGGCAGGGGACTGGCCCGGAAGTAAGGCTTGGGGGTCTAGTACTCGCTCAGGTGCTAACCAGTTGTGTGGGCGTGGCGTGGCCTGGCAGGTCAGTGAGTTCTCACAGCCCCACTTAAAAGGGAATAACATTTCTAAGTAATAGATTATTTATGCACAGAGGTTTTAGGGGCAACATACAGCATATGACCATTTCATTTACCGACAGGCATAAGAAAACATTTAGTAGAGTGAGTTTTTAAGAATTACCTGTTACAAAACAAGATATAAACAATGAAATGATAGAAATAATCCTAACATTGAAATTCCTATTTGGTTATGGTTCAGCAGGAAAAAATGTGTCCATAGAAAGATAAAGCGAACTGATAAAAAGGCAACATTTGGTAAATCGAAGTAAAGGGTGTTTACTTTTGTTGCAACTGTTATGAAGGCTTAAATTATTTCCAAGTAAAAAAAGTTGGTGCAAAACCAAATTTCTGTTTTAAGAAGAGATTTTGCTTTCCAACTGAGACACTAATGTAGTCTATAGACACAGCGCAGGCAGCAGCATGAAAAGACCACGTCTTCATCCCACCCCTCCCCTCAATGTGACAGAAACCAGATCTTCCATAAAAAGCAGGATGTAGCATAGTCAGCACTGCCAGGCCTTGTTCTAAATCCTGGTCACCTGGGAAGAACCATTCTAACTCATAAACGGATGTGACAAAACCAAGAGTTCCAGCCCGCATAGTTCTCACCTTGATGTCAGCACCAGAGAGGTCATCCTTGGCCATGATCAAGTCGTCCAGGGTCACGTCATCAGCCAGCGTCATTCTGCTCGTGTGGATCTGGAAGATGCGCTTCTTGGTCTTCTCATCCGGCAGGGGGAACTCGATCTTCCTGTCGATGCGGCCTGTAAGTACAGAGGCTTCAGCGCAGCTCTCAGCCCGCTGAGCCGTGCCTGTCTCCTCCTGTGCAGGGTCAGTGTCCTTTGGGAGGAGGACATGGTCATACACTGCCTGTTTCCTCTAAATTTCCATGTATAAATTTAAAAAGTGAACACTCACCATTCTAGTATGTAAGTTCTATGTTTGAATTCACTTATTTTCTCTGCTACCCCCAGAACACATCAAAGGAATGGTTTCTGAACAGCACAGATAGTGCAAAAGGACAGATCAGTCCAGTTTAAAAAGTTATGAAGAGAGTAAACAAATTGGCTACCACTTTTACTGCTAAATGAATATAAAAACTGGATCTAAACTATTATATGAATTACTTCATTTCTTTAGGAAAAAAGTCCTTGAGGCTTAAAAGGGAGTATCTGGGAAAGAAAAGATTACATAACATCAGAATTCAGAGGAGCCACGCTGCACAGACTGTATCATGTTCTTATCTATAACCTCAAGGTTATTCAAATTTCAGTACAATGTTGCCTTTACATGTATCATTTTATAATCTCATTAGCTCCCCAAACAACGCTTATGAAACACAAATACACATAAAGACAGCTATTCTCCACAATGAAGCAAAAGCAAATGTGACCTGGTCTGATTAGTGCTGGATCCAGAGTTTCTATTCGGTTTGTGGCCATGATGACTTTCACGTCTCCCCTTGAATCAAATCCATCCAACTGGTTCAGCAGTTCCAACATTGTTCGCTGAATTTCTCTCTCACCACCAGAGTTGGAGTCATATCTTTGGAAAAGAAGGAGAAGGAATGAAGACCCAAATGATCTCCTGCTAACGGGAAATTACAGCAAAACATCTCAACACTCGTCTCAACCCAATAGCCAGCTTACATATCTCATTATTTTCTTCGTAGCAGTTTTCATTGCCAAAGTTTTATCTCCCACGTTTGCTGTCCCCCAACCTGCTGAGTGCTCCTTGAGGCCAGAGACTTGTGGTCATGGCTGTGACCCAAGTCTAGATGGAGCCCGGCTCAGAGCAGATGCTCAGGAGCGGTTACTGACTGACCAATCTTCAGGTTCACAACCACCCAGCAGGTGGGAGAGCAGAGCCTACAGCCTCAGGGAGAGCCAGAGTAGGAACTGTGGCAAACACTGAGGCCACACAGGAGCGCCCAATGGTCACTCAGAGAAGAGCTCCATGGTTTTCCCTCTTAAGTTTACAAAACAGGTAAAAGAAAGTCTACCTCTTTGTCCCAATGGCATCAATTTCATCGATGAACACGATGGATGGTGCATGTTCTTCAGCAACTCGAAACAATTCCCGAACGAGCTTGGGCCCATCGCCTAGGTACTTCTGAATAAGTTCAGAGCCAACCACTCTCAAGAAAGTGGCTGAGGTTTGGTTTGCTACTGCTTTAGCCAATAAGGTTTTACCTATTTTATATTGAAAAAGATAAAGGGGGGAAAATCCTCAGAAACTCTGTCATTACCAATTAAATGGATATTAAATATGGATGGATTCCTATGATGAAAAGGCATGCAAACCTCTTGGATACGTGGTTTTAAGTCAATCAAATGACCTTCTTCCTTTGTAATTTATATAGAAATGAAATGCTAAGTCCTGGACTGCACAACTTACGCAAGTCAATTACATATATACTAGATGCCCAATGCACAGGTAGGGTTCCTAGGCCTGGCTGGCGATCAGGACTGATCGGGGCCTTCTGGCTGCTGGCCAGGGTTTTGTTTTGCACCGCCCCCAGTGGTCAGCGCACGTCATAGCAAGTAATCAAACTCCGGAGGGGACACTTTGCATATTAGCCTTTTATATATATAGACTAGAGGCCTAGTGTACAAACTGTACACTGGTGGATTCCTTGGCCTGGCCTGCTGGGATTGGGCAGAACCTGGATCTCTGACATCCCAAGGGATCCTGGATTGCGAGAGGACACAGGCCAGGCTGAGGGAACCCACCAGTGGAAGATTGGGCCGGGGAGGGCTCCAGGATGGGTCCATGCCATCTCGTCTCATCGTGATGGGCTGGACCCCAGTAGCAAGCTAACCTACTGGTCAGAACGTCTGCCCCCTGATGGTCTGTATGCATCATGCACACTGCAGTTGGACACAGCATGTTAGGCTTTTATTATATAGTTTTTTGTTTTTGTTTTTTTTGTTTTACCTTCATGCATTTATTCATTCCAATATGAATACTTACTGCCAGTGGACCAGGAAAATGAACCTAATCTGAACAGCACAGGGTTGGTTTTAAATCATGACTCTCTGCCATGGCTCTAGTGCATGATCATACTCCAGACAACACAATGGAATCTTCAGGGAGGGGCCCAGACACCAGTGTTTTCAAAGCTCCCAAGGTGATTACAATGCACAGCCAGGGTGAAGCACTTTTTGTTCACCTTTTCTTTTTTAAAAAAATATATTTTATTGATTTTGTACAGAGAGGAAGGGAGAGAGAGAGCTAGAAATATTGATGGGAGTGAGTCATCAATCAGCTGCCTCTTGCACACTCCCCACTGGGGATATGCCCCCAACCAAGGTACATGCCCTCGACTGGAATTGAACCCGGGTCCCTTAGGTCCCCAAGCCGATGCTCTATCCATTGAGCCAAACCGGTTTCGGCTTGTTCACCTTTTCTTACAACCTCTTTTCAAAAGACTAATTACTTATATAAATATTTGAAGGAATTACATTTTATAGCATCTACATCTAGTGTGTTTGAGTGTAGGAGTTTTTGGGAACTAAATACATCACACTGAGCAGGTATTTTTGGAAGGAGTGCCTACTGGTTTATTGTTGCAGTTCCTACAATTCTTTTTAACACACTGACTCTGCAGGCTACAATTTCAAGTCCTCGGTTTCCTAGTGCATCTATTATACAGATAAACACACTTTCTTATGCAATAGGTGTTTTTCCATAGAAGCTGCTTTTCCCAAATTCCAAAATATTGCTTAGAACACCCTGTTTTAAACTAAGGACTGTGGTATCGCCACTCAACAGCAGCAGGTTTTGTAACTAATGCTGCTGCTCAGGTTGAGCTGAGTGCCTGAAGTGACAAACCCACAGCACACATACCTGTGCCAGGTGGCCCATAGAGAATGACCCCCTTCGGGGGCTTTATCCCCATCTCTTCGTAATACTCAGGATGAGTGAGAGGAAGCTCCACAGATTCCTATAGGAAACAAATACTACGTAAAAGCGAAAAGCTTTCTTACTGAAATCACCACCATATTCATGAACTGGCGTCACAAGCATCTCACTTTCAACAGAAAATAAGCTAAAATTTCAATTACTCTTGTTGGAGACAATGTGCTGATGTCACTAGTGGCAAGGACACACTGAGACACCTGTTCTACTGGAGCTCCCAGCACCCATCCCCTCTTCCCAATGGCACCCGATTTCCCCTTCATTTCTTTGTAGAAGTCAGCCTTGAATAACATCTAAAACTTCCTCAGCAAATGGAACTTAAAACTCACAGATAGGAATGGGCAAGGCTTTCTGATTGCTGTTAGCGCCTGTCGAGAGGTCACCAGGGAGATCTGTGACAGCTCTGAGGGACTCCTCTACAGATGAAAGAATCTGCAAAGGACTGGCCCACAGCCATCCCCATGGGTTCTCCCCCAACCCCACGACCAGGGCAGGGAATATGTTCCAGACCCCACCACTGTGTGTGCGCCACTCACCCTACCCCACACATCACTGGCTGAAGTAAACACAATGGGGCCATTATATACCCACACAGAGAATCATTAAACATTACATGTATAAAGTATTAAGCTGCAGCTGCTGCAAGAACTACCACAGAATTAGTTACTTCTATTACCTCAGTATTCAGAAATATAAAACACCACAGCTGGTAAGCTCTGAGTCAGTTATTGGTCTGATCAATAAAGAAAACAAAACATGCAAAACAACTCCAAGTATCCTAAACGAGAAAGCAGAAGTCTGAAGACCCAGCGCTGGCTCCTGGCCGTACCTTAATTTCCTGGATTTGGTTGTCCAGCCCCCCAATGTCGGCATAGGTCTCCTGCGGGGCCTTTTCCACCTTCATCACCGTGACCAAGGGGTCCGTGTCGTCCATCAGCACCCCTATCACAGCATGCACCTAACGGAACAGCATGCTTCAATACAGAGTGTGAGCCTCACACATTCATTACAACCAAGCAATGCTGATCACAGAATTTGATTGTGGAAGATGTAATTACGTGGGACGGATGGGCAGATCTAAGAGGAAAGAGCGAGCTTTCACTGAGACTCCACTCACCTTGTGGTTGAGCAGGACGGAGCAGCCTGGTTCCAGCAAGTCCTTGTCCACAAAGGAGAGAATGCTGACGTAGTGTTCTGAGCCCACAGATGTAGACACGATGGCGTGATTGTCATCGATGATCTCTTCCAAGGTCCCCACTGACATTGGGGTCCCCCTCAGGTCATCCACCTTTGATCTTTCCTCCTATGAGAGAGTGTGCCAAGAAGAAAAAGTAGTTTAGTGGAGAGTTCACTAGATTTAAAAAGCAGTTGGTACATTTACTTACTAGATGCCGATTACACAGATTTGTGCCCTCTCACAATCTGGGACCCCTCGGGGACATCGGAGAGCTTGTTTTGGCCCAATCCCCACAGGCCAGGCCCAGGGACCCCACTGGTACAAGAATGTGTGTACCAGGCTGGTTTTGGCCCAATCCCCATAAGGCAGGCTGAGGGACCCTCCTCCCTCCTCTCTAGGTCCGGGGTGCGGATGAAGCAGATTGGGGGCTGACAGTGTCCCAGCAGCAATCTAACTCACGGCTGATTCCACGAGGAATCAGGCTCCCTCCTCTACTGCTTGGAGCGTCTGCCCCGATGGTGATTGTGCATCATAGCTACCGGTCGGACGGTTGCTTAAGCTTTTATATATATAGATTACTTTGTTAATCCTCACTCGAGGATATATTTCCCATTGATTGGAGCGGGGGCAGGCAGGGAGGATGAAGAAACATGAATGAGAGTCACATCGATTGGTACAGACTCTTAACTATGAGCCAACAGTCTAACCACTGAACCACACTGGCCAGGGTGCAGTTGGTGTTTTTAAAAGGCAGCTAATAATGAATCATTATAAAAGCCTAAAAGATTCCACTACTTGAATTTCATTTACCCACGGATAGTTTTAGGGCTTAAACAGAATTTAATTTGGAAAAATGAAAGCTACAGTTATTTCTCAATTTACCTCTTGCTTTTCTTCTAAAGGCTTCATTTGTTCCTGATTCCTAATGAATTCTTCCTCCATGAGAAGATAGTCTTTAATTCTTTCTAACTTCAATAATTTTAACCGGCACTGAGTGTGAGGTGTCACTGTAATTAAAAAAATAAAGTCTAATTATACTTGAAGCTTGAAGTTAGCAATTGTTTACTTTTTTTTTTTAAATTGTTGACACTATTACAGATGTCCTCATTTCCCATCTTTGCCCACCTCTACCCAGCCTTCCCCCTCAGTTTATTCTTGAGAGAGAGAGGGAGACTAAGTTCACTTTAGTTGGACAGACTCTGAAAAGTTAAGTTTGGTGACCCTAATTAAGCAGGTACCTAAATGCAAAGGGGCCAGGGATTTTGGCAGTTATAGGCAAGCCTGTAAAAATGGGGATGAGCACTGACCAATCAGCTAATACAGAATGAAATCACTAAGTGAACTGTGTGTGTACATAAGTCATAGATGCAGAAGGTAAGTTTGCTTTGGCTTAGTTTCTCACAGTGCTAATTGTACATGCTGTGCAGTCCGTCCACCGTGTTGCACACTAATGTAGCACACCCTCCCATTGTAGGGTTGTGAAATACTAGTGATGTTAACATGCGCTAAACATTTTCCCCACATACTCTTTTGTGCTGTTTCTTTTGGTTTCACTAGTTCTTAATATTTATATAAATAAACTTTTTATTTTGTGGTGTCGGGTTTCCTGACTTCTTCAAAAGATCTCTCCTCCCCTAAGATTTATTCTTGGAATTTTCATTTATTTATTTATTTTCATATGTATATCTATAATCCATCTGGCAAAAAGCAAGGGATCTATTTCTTTCAATAGCCAATAAATAACCTAGCATCTTTCCACAGAACTAAAATATCACCTTCACCATATATTAATTATCCATGTACCCTGACTTTCTATGCTTTTCTGGTGACCTGATAATCTATTCTTTATCAATAACATATTGATTCATTACAGTAGGAACATTTTTTTACTCTTTTAGTCCTTAACACAGGGCATTCCTTCACTTCATAAAGTAAATGTGTTTCCAAGTTCCTCAAGCTCAGCCTGAGTTTTCTACTCTAAAGCTACTTTTAAATAGATTTGAGGAACTGGTTAAAGATTCCTAAAGTGAGATAGTCATATAACTGTTAAACCCAAAATACAGCTTTTATTCCAACCTAGAAGCATGCTGCACACAAGAGTTAGAATATAGTCCCGGAGCTGGAGCTTCAGCCACGCCCGTTTCCTGTCTGAGCTACACACACAGTCCGCTCCCCTGGGCTGGGAAAGGCGGCAAGGAAGAGCCGCGTCCTTACCCAATGGCAGTTTGCTGGCAGCATCTGGTCCCTTTGTTTTCTTCTTCTTTTTCCCCACTCTAGTAGGTACGGGAGGTTCATATTTCTTCTTCTTGTCCTCGAGTTTTCAGAACAGCAGGGGGAAAGAGTCACACAAATCATATTAAAACACAAATGTTTCTGAAGAATCATTGTCTATTTCCAGGTGATATAATTTTCCTTATCTTTTAGGATACTATTAAAAACTGTTCTTTAAAAAAAAAATACACTAGGTTTTATATTTCTGCAGTTTTAATATGTGAATGTATTTGGTCTTTCTTTTTATAACACACAATGATAGATTATTCAATAAGGAATAGAAGTTAGAATTCAGAGTTACATTCCAAAAGTTTGAGTTGATATAACTTGAGACAATTCTTCACATCTCAGGAAATTAAACACTAAAATTAGAAGCAATTTATTTTAACACTCCTCTAATGTGTAAGTTACTTTTACATATTTAAAAGGCATTAATTCATAAATACATTTGTGACAGGTTAATAACCTTTCCAAAAACATGTAAAGGGTTCAGTATCTGTAGGCCAGGTTGGGTTAAATAACTACAAGATTATTTATTTTGCGTTTTAAGATTGGTGAATCCCCAAAGAACGCAGCTGAGACCTATGACAGTTCCCACTAGTTGTTCACATCACAAACATATCTGGCTGCATATTTACCTTGTCATCCTTCTTGCCACCTCCAGGACCATGACCGCCACTCTGACTTTGACCCTGGGGTTGTGGGAAGAGGTATAAATTCAGAACATGAATTCAAAAGGACACCTTTCTTCTTTTCCTGTAGTTCTAAGACACTGGCAGCACTTCCCCCCCTCATTTAACATTTCTGAATTAAGAAATGCACTTGCAGTCAATGAGCACATTTGGCATGGCACAATTTATTTTTCCAAAAAGCTGTTAGCACAATGGTACACCTTTAACTGATTGCACAAATCAAGGAGAATTCCATCAACAGACAGACATAGTTAATTTATCATAATGAGGCTAAGATTCTAGCCCCCCTTCTTGAGGGGAAGGTATAGAGTTTGGTACAGTATTCTTTAATCTAGAACTACCACCAAGAGTGTGTTTTGTGAAATTAGGCCATGAAAACTAAATCATTTTCCCTTTTCAACAATCACAGAGGCCTGTTGCATGAAGATTCATGCAATAGGTTGCTGGGACTGGTTTTCCTCTGGCACCTGGGACTCAGCCCTTCGCTCTGGCTTACACTCCAGAACTCCTGCTCCTATAGTTCCCCCGGCCCCCTGTCCTACTCCTCATATGTTCTACCTCACAGATGTTCTGTCCCCCCTGGCTGCTCCCAACCTGCATGAGTGCTGTCCAGAGGCCCTGAGCAACTGGGGGGCGGGGCCGTCGCCATCTTTGTTGGATTAATTTGCATACTTGCTCCTAAATGGCTGGTGGACGTCACAGTAAGTCAATTTGCATATTTCTTTTATTAGTGTAAATTATTAATTACACTTATTAATATTAACACCAGATCCAGGAGACTTCCTTTTAATAGTAGCTTACACACCTACCACCCCTAAAGCCAGAAAAGCTAAAGCAACTTAAGATATCAAGAACTTAAGTGTTTTAATAAGCTTCAGTGGGATTTCTGATTTTAAAAAAGATCCTTCAGCTGAAACTGGTTTGGCTCAGTGGATAGAGCGTCGGCCTGCAAACTGAAAGGTCCCAGGTTCGATTCTGGTCAAGGGCATGTACCTTGGTTGCAGGCACATCCTCAGTGGGAGGTGTGCAGGAGGCAGCTGATCAATGTTTCTCTCTCCTCAGTTTCTAACTCTCTATCCTTCTCCCTTCCTCTCTGTAAAAAAAATCTGAGGGTCCACTGCCTCAATCCCCTCAAATCACTTCTACATTGGAACCTCTAAATTCACTGCCAGGTTCACTATCAAACAAAACTACCATATCATGGATTACCCAAAGGAATTAAACAGCCTTTTTAAAACTCTGTGCTTTATTCCGAAGAAGGTAACTAGGGCTCTGAGAAATTTTGGGAAACAGCTATACTGCCACAGGCTGTCCAAATGATAGTCTTGTAACAATCACTTTTAAGGAAATCTGCTATTGGCTGGGGCAGCTCATGTGTGTGGGGTCCTTACTATGTGCCTGTCTGTACAGACGTTTTCCTTCACTAACTCAATTCCACACAATCCTTCAAGGCAGGGTCATCATTCTCCCTCTTTAGATGAGGAACTACAACAAGCCTAACAACATGGAATTAGATGCATCCGGGCTTGAATTCCGACTCCATCACTAATAGGCTTATGACCTCAGGTAAGTCAGGTCACCTACCAGACAGAGCCTTGGGGTCCTTAACGGGAAAGCCTGGATGATCCTAACTCCTGTTGCTGAAAATGAGGTAACGTAATAAACCGAGTATTTACGTGACTCAGGAACTACTAACCAATACAGTATTGATGAGACAGAAATGCCAGGGTCAGCATTTTAATTGTTGGTCTGGTCACAAATCCGGACACTGAACTCCATCTGCTCCAGCTCACTCTCTCCTGTCTATTAGCCCTTATCTCTGTCTCCGTCCAGGTCACTGTGTCTTATTTGGACTCAGCCTCTCCACTGAGACTCCCGCCTCCAGTTTCTCCCCTCCCCTATCCACCCACGACCTTTGAAAACCATCAGCTGATCCTTTAATTCTTAAACACCTGCAGCTCTCCTTAGCACTTCAGTGTTTCCCAAACTTCTCTCATGATGAGAATCACCTGGTGGAGTTGTTAAACTACAGATTCCTGAATCCCAACTAAGAAGTGCTACACTAGGATTTTTGGGAACATATAGGTAAAATTGTATACTTAACTTAGTGCTCTGTCTTAGAGCACTAGTTAGTTGGGATTCAGGAATCTGTAGTTTAACAACTCCACCAGGTGATTCTCATCATGAGAGAGGTTTGGGAAACACTGACTTAAGGAGTAGCATCCAACTCTTCAGCTTAGCATGCTGGGCCCTTGACAAAGCGGCTGCAGGTGCCTCTACTTTCAGATAAACTTTCCAGGTTCGTCGACCTTCCTCACGATGCTGCCGGTCCGGCCCCAGCAGAGGACGCTTTCCTGAACAGATCCCACACTTCTTCACGTCGGGGGCATTTCACATGATGGGACTCAGTAAGAAGATACACTATATGCCAAGCCATGCGCCAAAGGCCTCAGGGTATCACCTCAATTCTCACAGGCACCATGAGCTTGTACTACCATCCCCTCGACTTTACGCACAAAGCCACCGAGGCCCAGAGAAGTAGCACATTTTGCTCCAGTGTCAGGGTTGTAGCCAGGATCCGCACTCAGGTCCACAGTATCGGTGTGTGTCTCCACCACATGGGCCACTAGGCCAGCACAGAAGGGGCTCAAGGAGAGACGGGCAGGGTTCCAGGGTTCGTGTTCTAGCATAGTCACTTCCGGTGTCGGTATCCTCCCAGGTAAAGTCAGGATAAGAATTGCCTCGAGGGACGGTTGTGAGGAAGAGGAGGAAATGCTGGGAAAGTAGCCGGCACTCGCTTAAAGGAGCACCCCAAGTCCTAGAAGCCCTGCGGGGCTCAGTGGGCCGCCTCCGTGCTGTTCAGACGCAGGCTGCACAGTCCCGCCTCCGGCCCTTCGCACTGGCCGTCCCTGCTCCCGGGGCCGCGTTCCCCTCTGCGCACAGGCTCCTCTCCCGCTTCACTGAGCTCTGAGCTCAACCCTCATCCCCGGAGGTCCCTCCCCACCCCAGGCTGCCCTATCAGACGTCCATGTAACCACGGCCACTCCACGAACCCTCTCCATCCCGCCCTCCGGCATCACCTACGTACATCTTTCTCTCGGTTCGGCTGCCTTTCCTAGAAAAGCAGCCCCACGAAGGCAGAGAAGGTCCATCACGCTCAACCCCTCCATCCCAGGCGCCTAGAAGAGAGCCTGGTCCGCGCCCCAAAAGTGCAGGTGCTCCATAAACATTTGCTAAGGGAGTTGCGTGTTTTGCTAAGAACGCACCCCGGGGCCTTTCCCTCCGGCTTCCACCCGCCCTACAATTGTCAGCCCTCAAACGCCCCGCTCGGCCCCGCTCGGCGGCACGAAGCCCTCCCTTCCGCAGGGCGAACATCCCGCCGGCTGAGCGGCTCAAAACCTCTCATCCCAGCTGCTGAAGGAGGCTCCCCGGCCGGTCAGCAGAGCCCCAAAGCCGGGCGACCGGGCCCGCCCCGCCCCGCAGTCCTCCTGGTCCTTCTGGGGGGACCCTTCGCGCCGAGCCCGGCCCGCAGGTCGGCCCTGCCCGCAGGCACCCGGGCACCGCCGCCCGGAGCCTCCGTCCCCCAAGGAGATCGGGCCGGCGGGCAGGGCAGCGGGTGGGCCGCTCGGACCCCGTCACATCACGACCACCACCCAAAAGCCTTAGTCACTCACCATCTTGCCTCGGCTGCAGAAGCCGCCGCCGCCGCCGCCGGAAGTGCACTCGCACGGCTGGCGTCAGAGACGGAAGTAGCCCGGGGCGCTACGGGGGCCCGCAGGAGCCAAACCTCGCGGGATGCAGTCGCGCGCTGAGGCTTCGCGCGGGAGGTTTGGGGCCGCAGTGTCTTAGAACACGTGAACCTTATAGTTTACTTGGGGGGGGGGGGGGGGGGGGGAGTCTGAATCGCAGTTTGTAGGCTGTCTCAGCCACTGGAGAGAATAGCCTCGACTGTCAGAGAACCAAGGTTAATTGGGAGACTATAAATTGTTTCAAACGTGCAAAAACCATAAGCGGGAAGAACTTTTCCTTACTGCTCCCAGAACTGGACTGGCATCCGTAACTGCGAGGTTGACGTATGCTTTTGCATCAACATTTAAGTTATTGTTTGGCCTCTGGCATTAACCCGAATCACCTGAGAATATGTTTTTGTCTCGTGAATAACCTAAATCTTTTTTTTTTTCCTTTCGGATGACTTGTGTCTTGCGACGACGCCGATAAAGTCCTCATCTTGCACCTCGTTGGTTAGGTTCGCATTCCCACCAGGACATCGGAAACACGGCAAGCATCCCTTTGTCTCCGCTGCTTGGTGATCCAGGAGGAATGAATGAATGAATGGTGGCCAGTTTTCCTGGTGGCCGGTGGGCACATGCAGTACACGCACTACCAGCAGAGGGAGCCACAGCCAAATACTGCGCCGTGGCCCTATTTAAGTTCCTGTGGAGCTGGTCCCTGCCTGCTCCTCGCTCCCAAATGGCTTTGATACTCCTTGCTCATCCACCTCCGGGTTACCCACCCTCTTTCTCACCCTGGCCCTTGAGCTCTTTGCCCAGGGAAGCCTGGTGTTTATCCTCTTTCCGGTTCAAAGCCTCCAGCATTGCTTCTGGAGTCTACTTGCTGGCATCTCTGTGGCACCTTTTGTCCGCCTGCCCAGGATGAACTCATGCAGGAGAGAGAGATGCTGGCACTGCCCAGCCCCTCTTGGTGCTGGAACTAGACCACTCCGTTGCCCCTGGACCCCTAGTGAAACTCCCCCCTCCTCATTTTTGCACCCCATCCGTCCCCTGGGACACGTGATCCTGCCACATCCCTACTAACGGCCTTCTTAAGCATGGGCTCAGATGACCAACATCAGCGCTTTGGGTTTATCGTATTACCCTCACTTTGCAGATGAGAAATTAGGGTTTGGGTTCATTAAGTGATCTGCTCGAGACCATACCGCTGATGGGCAGTTATGTTTAACTTAGATACTCTGGTTCCCAACCTTTGTTTTCATTGTCCTATTTGTCAAGAAAATCCAGAGTCTTGGCCAGTGGTCCTCAGTGGTTAGACCATCAGCTTGGGCATGGAAGGGTCATAGGTTTGATTCCTGGTCAAGGGCATGTACCTGGGTTTTGGTTCGCTCCCTCCCCTGGGTTGGGGTGTGAGCAGGAGGGAACTAGTTGATCATCAATGTTTCCCTCTCTCTCTCCCAGAGAGTTTTAGGACTGGGACGCTCCCTAAAGTTCACATTCTGCAACTTCCCATCCAGTCCGTCCATGACTCAGCCAGTCCCTGGGACCCCATGCCCTCTCTTGGGGACATCTCTGCCTGGCTTCTTCCTCTTCACGTTCAGGTCTCAGCTCAAACACCATGGGGCGCTCCAAACCCTCTGTTGGTATGAAGGTCCTTTTAAGGTTGGCGCTCCAAACCTGCTGTTGGTATGAAGGTCCTTTTAAGCCAAAAACATCTGAGATTCAGCAGATGCAGGAAGATGCCTTCTGGGAGCTTCTCTTGTCTGACCAACAGCAGCACCTTCTGGGAAGCAGGGTGGCCTGGATTCCCTTGGTGGGCGTGCCACCAGGAGAGAGGCTAACCGAGACCACACTGGAATTCCACTGCTCACCCCTGTCTCCACAAACATCACACACTTCCCTATCTTCCATTTGTCCTAAAATCCAGGTATCTTTTCCATAAACACCCATTTGTTCTTCCTTAAGAGTCTTTCCTCCCCTCCCCTCCCCCTGCTAAGGTAGGTGGACGAACCTCTGACTTGAACCCTTGGTGGAACTACCTGTTTCTCTGTCAGCATAGCCCCCTCCTGCCCACCCACTCCACCCGCTCCTAGGAGGAAGCCCTCCTGGAGGTAAGAGGAGGTGCGATTTGTGAAGAGGAGTGTTCGCCAAACGTCAAAACGTGGCTTTCTCTGTCTGGGCAACGTCTTCCAGACCAGCAGACTCCCGGGGCCAGGCAGCAGGCACCCAGCCCCCAGGCGTCCCAGCGGCAGCGGCTGGAGGGCTTTCAGCTGCCAGCAGCGATGGACAATTTATGGGATCCAATTCGCAATATTAATAGTAAACATCAGCCGAAACTGGTTTGGCTCAGTGGACAGAGCGTCAGTGGAAAGGTCCCAGGTTCTATTCCAGTCAAGGGCATGTACCTTGGTTGCGGGCACATCCCCAATAAGAGGTGTGCAGGCGGCAGCTGATCGATGTTTCTCTCTCATAGATGTTTCTAACTCTCTCTCCCTCTCCCTTCCTCTCTGTAAAAATTCATTAAAATACAACAATAAAAAACACCAAAAAACTAAACAGCATTATCCAGGGGTGTCAGCCCTACCCAGCCTGCACCAGCCGTGGGATTAGGAGCTGCTTTCAGACAGCTGAGCGGGTGGAGGTGGGCAGATCCTGCCCCACCAGAGGAACCCTCCCGGTTCCCTCTCCTCCAGCTCTGTGAGAGTGCATTTCTGTTGTTCAAAGTGTGCGGCCATTGCTCCAGCAGCTTCAGGAAACTGACACAGAGAGGTGAGGTAAGTTGCCCAAGGCTGCACAGCCGGGAGGCAGAACTCCTGAAGATTCCAAAGCAGATTCGACCCCAGAGCCATTCCTTTTCTATTGAATGAGTCAGTTGTGCAAATCAGTGCCTGGAACACAGAGCAGAACAAGGTGCTATTGTTGTTACTGTTGTTATTAATTATACATTCTCCTAGGCTCGCTCCCTCCTCTGCACCCTTCGATCAGGAAGATAATGAGTACCTTGTGCAATCTCAAGACCCAGACAGCTGTGAATTATATTCTCATTAACATGATCAGAGACAATGATGTGAAGAAAAGCTACAGCTAATATTTCCCCACAGCCCACGGAGGGGGTTAGTCAAAGCCACACCCGTTCATCCCGATGAGAGGGCGGTGGAAGGTCCAGGGCTCTGCTGTCTTCTGCGGGGACCTTGACATGGTCCTGCTGCTTCCTGGATGTCACCAGAGGCCGCCAGGTACCAGGCAAGAGGGAGGGAAGAACGGGCACCCAAGTCATCTCTTCCACGTGACTTGGCAGCTCCCTCACCTCTGTAGGTGGAGTGTAATTCCCTGCCCTGGCCTTTGGGTTGACCATGTGACTAACACTGGCCAATAGAATGGGATGGAGTGATGGTGTGCTTAATCTCACCGATTTCTACCTGCCCCCCCCCCCCCCCCCCCGGGGCCTCTGCGGTCGCCGGGAGAAGCTTGTTCCTGGGTAGCTTGCTGATCCCTGGGGAGGAGGAGAGACTGTGGGGGCAGAGCCACCTCCAGTGAGCCCAGCCCACATCAGCCAATCCCCTCCCTTCCCCTGCTGCAGACATCAGACACGGGAGCGAAATCAAAGCTCACTGTTGTTTGCCATTGAAGTTCTCATATTGTTTGCTATGTAGTATTATTGTGGCCAAAGCGAACAGATACACCCCAAAACCCAAGGACTTCCATATATTCCTAGGGTCACCCGGATCTATGACACACAGTGGGGCTCAAATAGCAGTGAGGGTGTCCCTGGAGCCTCCATGGGGGATCGGGGGTTGAGAATATGGCCACATGAAAGGCATCTAATAACCATATGACCTGGGAAGCCTCCTTAAATCTCTGTCTCAGATTTTCACCTGTAAAATGGGAATAAAAATGTTTCCCCCAGGACTGCTTTGAGTAGTAAAGGAAAGCGGGTGAGAATAGCACCTGGAACATAGTAGGTGTCACGAAGTACTGGCTCCTTACTGGCAAATGGAGTGTTCGGAGGCCTCACGCTGGTTAGATTTCAGTGTTGAGTCCCTCCTCTGTCCCGGGCGCTCACCCCATTTTAAACTGAGGACACTGAAGCACTGACGGTCCTGTAAGTGGCCCGGGTGCCACAGCAGGGAGGGGCAGACCCAGGACTTGAACGCAGGTCCCCTCACATTCAGAAAAGGGTGACAAGGAATGGTCAGAGTTGGAGCAGGTGGAGCGGTCACACCCCCACCTCACCTCCCTTACCCATCAGCCTCCTGGGGGCCCAGGCCAGGCCCGCCTCAGCACTCTGTGGTGGGTTCCAGGCTCCCGAGGGCCAGTAGTTGGGAGCTGACAAGGGTCCCCTGGAAAGTCCAGCTGACCCTGCCCTGTGTCAGGGAGCGGTAAAAGGACCAGGTAATTAAGAGAAGGGGAGAAATGAGGGATCACGGGGATTAAGCTGAGTAAGAAAATGGAGCATCCAAGGGTAGAAAGGGTGTATCTTCAAATCCGTCTCTTCCTCTCCCTCCGCGGCCCCCAAAATTGCTCAGTGAGAGGCAACCGCCTGACTGGACCAAAGGGGCCAGGGGATCGGCCTGGCGATGAGCTGTGACGACGGCTCAACAGCATGAAACCCATCAAGCAGCTCAGTCATGACAATAGTCATGGCGGCACCCACACCCCTGGCCCGTTTATCGAATCTCCTACTGGGCAGCTGAGGCTTCTCGTTAAGGGAACGCTTTGCACAGGGAACGGATGGGGGAGGTGTCTGACATTTCCTTTGCAGGCCTGGGGGAGAGGCAGTCTCCGTGGCTGAAGGACAGCTGTGGCCACACTTCCAACGCAGAGAATGGACACCTGAAACTCTCCTCAGGAAGCCGTCTGTCTACTCCATACCGGGGTTCCACACTGGGGGTTGCAGACTGGGGTTCCACACCGGGGCTCCACACCGGGGTTCCACACCGGGGTTC